TTGCTGTTTCATATAGAAGCACTCGACCGATTTTCATGGAACAACCGTCAAAATGTAGTGGATGAAGAATTATGAAACATGCATTTGGAATTTTTCGAAACAATTCATTTTTAAGGGGTGAGCCACCCCTTTGAATACTTCTTTTACCCCTTACGCGAGCAGTAATTGTTCTATCCAAATGAAACTTTTTTTGTATTGCTCTGGTCTATAAATTAACCAAGTTTCATATGGATAGAGCAATTACTGCTCGCGTAAGGGGTACAAAAAATATTCAAAGGGGTGGCTCACCCCTTAAAAATGAATTTTTTCGAGAAAGTCCAAATGCATGATTCATAATTCTTCATTCCCTACATTTTGAGGGTTGTTTCATGAAAATCGGTCGAGTGCTTCTATATGAAACAGCAAACTCACCCCCTTTCACGGCCAACTTTGAAGCTTGATTTCACCCCCTAAAAGTGTTTATCCGCCGATAAAAAAAAAACACGGGTTCCTTAGATTTTAGTCCTGTATAACATATTTAAAAATGAACAATCGGTACGTGATGGAGGATGTGATTTTGGATATTTCGGAGATTTTGGCACAATTTGAAATATCTTTACAGATCGTTAGGTGGAGGGTCGAAATGGATCCTTGCCGATCTCGATATCCCAGGATCTAAAAATGACAACGGTGGATGAGGATCTCTTGTCGACACCGGTTCCGATTTTCCACCCCTAGGATTTTCCAAATGCTTTTTTGATCCCGAGCTCCTAACTCGGGGTGAGCACTTGCTCCCCAGGCGCCAATGATGCCAATCTACCGTGTAAATCGCGACATATTTCACGACACACGGGAGAGAGAGAGAGAGATACTACCCCCGCTAAGGGAGCAAGAGAGAGAAAAAACTACCCCTGCATTTAGGGGATGAAAGTTTTCAAGTCGTACCCCTCCACATGCCGCCCTGATTTCCAGCAACCCCATTTGGGGTCTTTTCGAGACCTCCGGCGACACTTAGGGAGACTGCCACTTTTTCGTCCGAAATCTACAAGTATTGTAATAAATAAAATAAAATCACCCTGCCGTGAATTTTTGTCAAGAAAAATCCCATTTAACGAATGACTTACGGAGGAAAGTAAAATCAAGGACCTCGCGCAGTTGATGATTTTTGGGAATTGGCAGAATAGATTTTTTTACCCCCTTTGAGGACGGAGGAAATTTATTAATGTCTTTCGCGGCAGTTTTTGATAATTTTCCAGAGGGGGGCGAGGAGGATTCGAGTTCATAGATTTAACTCCCAACAGGGAGAACTGTTTACCGCAATCTACACTTTCATCTGCAATTCTATTACTCGGGAGAATTTCTTAACAGACTCTTGGAGACTTTCCGGGGGTTGGAGAACAGGTGGCGAAGGGTAAAGGGAAGCAACCCTTAAAGCCGGAGATATTTGGAGGTCTTAAATAATAACCAACGTAAGTGGACTCCTCGCTTGCCCCCATTTCCCCAAGAAAAATATATTCACAATAATTTCTTAAACCGGATAAAAATTGTAAATCATCCGGGGAGCGGTTTCCATTGTTTCTCCCTTTATTTCGGGCCAACCGCAATTTGTTTACTCGTGTAATAAAATCCGGGGCCGGGAACAGCGGTCCTGGATATTGGCGAAAAACTCGAAAATCTCGTCGGCGTTAAACAATCCCAGTGAAAAGTGGTGAGCATACGTAAATAGTGTAAACTCGCAGGGTGGGCCTCAAAAGTGGAGGCGGTCTCCAATTTGTTCCTCGTGATTTATATCGACCGATACCACGTAAAACGCGACACGAGAGGTGGAAACTCGATTGAGCCGATCGAGTGTAAATTGACACAGGCGCACCGTTCCTATCTCTCGTTTTTCAAACGGTTTTTTCCCCGACAGCGATCCGATATTTTAATGGAAAGGAAAAGGAAGGTTGCGAAACAAATGAAGGCAAACCCCCCTTCCGCATGAGGGAAATGAATTTTTTTTTTACACCGCCCCAGTAATTAATTCCCACAAATAATTCCTCCTGGACGCGAAGAAAGGATCTATGGAGTTCTTCGATTGGGTTCCCTTGTAAATTGAAGATAACGCATTTAATGTTAAGAATTTAAGTCCCCAATCGTTCTTCGAGTCTCGCGTTTACTCGGCTTTTTAATTTCCGGCTCTTCGGGGGGGAACCATCCACCTGTCCACCCCCGGTTTCGCACCCCAGGCTCTCGAAACCGCTCTTCGGCACCTGTTCCACCCTCGACCAACCCTCGGGAAGAGCCGAGGAGAATGAAGAAATTCCCGCGGTGGTCGAATAAGCGTCGGCGATTATTTGCCGCCATTAAGGGGCGCCCAACCCCCCCAACTCCGAGGGCTCTTCTTTCGAAACTTCCGACATGGGTTTTACATTTCGCGAAGGGAAAACCACCCCCTCGGCGGCTGTACGAAAGGTCCTCCCTTCTTCGTCTTCGTCTTCGTCTTCCTCTTCGACCTTCCAGCTTTCCCCTCGGCCGCCATTGGTATTCTGTCGGGCTGCGCCAATATTGCGTTACGAAGAGACGCCCCCGACGGACCCAATCCGGCACGCACGTCACGACATTTGTTAAAGTTATATCGCGCCCTTTGGTTTCCGCCTCCATTTACCCGGAGTCGAAATTAATGGCCGACGCGAGTCATTAATTGACTCGTCTCCTCGATGAAGACTTTATTCCCGGAGAAGCGACGCCGCCGTCTCGGCTCGGCGCGGCCGCCATTTTGGAGAACCTCGACTCTTGAAGAATTGACCCTGAAGAGATTTTTTCCGGAAAAAATTGAAGTTTCTTCCAGGGACAGATTTGCTTCCTGATTTATTCGCGACGACGCCATTTTGGAGAATCTCGACTCTTAAAGAGTCGTCGCTTCCCTGGAGATATTTTTTCCGGAAAAAAAACTGAAGATTCTTCCGAGGACAGATTATCCTGATTTTCGAAAATGGAATTCCTTTTTTTTAAGAAAAATTTTTTCCTCTGGGTAAACGATACGAGATAATCGCTCTGGGATGGGGGAATAATCGTCCGATGATATTTTTTTTTCTCGGTTTTTCGCTTTCGTGAAACATCCCTCCGCGTTAAACACCCCCTCTTTTGGTACCCTCACCCCTCGTCGTCTTCTACCCTATTCCTCGAAGCCCTTCCACCCTCCACCCCGCAAAATCGAGTGTTTGAGATTATGACGGAGGCTCCGGTCACGTATTTCATTAACCGTCATGCCACGCTAAGGGTGAGAGAGTTTCGAGTAGGTGGAGGACCAAGGACGAGACGTCCTGGATGTAGTGCCTGCGAGACGTGTTTGCCTTCCCCCATCCTAGGGGATGATCCTGTTATAATTATTAATGCCGCACCGGTTGTCCCTCTTGACGTCCTCCGACTCCTGCGAGTCCTTGGCATTTTCGAAAACTCCAATTTCGAGCCTCCTGGAGGACGGGAAATGTCTTCCAAGATGGAGGGACGTGGAACTACTTAGAGGGGGATCCCGAACTTGGGAATAAGGGCGCGAACCCTTCCGACCCTCCGGATTATTAATTAATAATTAGAACTCGCGGGGAAAATTCATCGGGAATTTTATGTAAAACTCTTCGGGATCCTGGCAAAACGAGGAGAATTAATTCAACTCGTGGAGTCCATTACGAACGACCTAACTGAACTTCTCCTGTAAGAGGAGTTGGACTTTTTTGACGATTTTATTTATTTTTTTTTTCCCACGGATTAATCGTAAATAAAAATCTTGGCAATTTTTTTCCGGAGTCCTTGGACTTTCCTCGACCCGAAGAATTTTTATTCGAGTCAAGGCCACCGATTTTTATGTGTCCTTTATTTTGATTTCGATTCGAGAGGGACTCGATGACGGGGAGGACGTCCGCTAGGGAAATTTCTTCCGGAGTGTTTTTCCCCTAGGTGCCCTCAGGGCGGGGAAAAACAGGGATGCAGGCCTGACTGGGACGGGGACAAATTACGGGGGACGAAAATTTCCATCGAAGGATTTCCCCGCAGAATCCGATGACGAAGGTAAAAAGGAGGAGAGAGGAGTCCTCCATGGTGTACAGCGCTCTTTGAGATGCCAACGCCAGATTGGAATTACCATATTGGAAAAAGGGACTGGACTTCTTATTTCCATTTCCTTTGGCCCACCCCAACTACTAGCCCATCTTCCCCCTTTCCCGCTTTTCCGACCCCTTTCCCCCTCCCGACTCTTCCCATTCTTTCCCTCCGTCCAGACCGAGAGAGAATCATCCGGTCCTCTTCGATAGATCTCAATCTTGTTTGGTCTTATCGGTTTCCTCGGATTTTCCTCCATTTTCTCCTTTTCGTCCCCTTCCTCCTTCACGGGATGCTTCTCTTACAAATTCCTGCATTTACAACCAAAAAAAACAAAATCTTTCCCTATCCCTTCTTTTTCCCTTAGCTCCCCAATTTCGGTTCATGTTTCAACAGCATTGAATTATTCCCTACTATTAAAATTTTATGTTTTATGTAAGAAAATTAATTTTTTTTTTTTTTTTTTTCACGTAGACTAATGGAACGACGCTCCTAGAGGGTTTCTGGAGTAAATATTCCTTGAATTTCCGGAGTTGAAAAATTAAACTGCTTTTTGTTACATTCTGTACTGGATATGTTAATGAAGCGATGCACTTTAGAGAGAAGACACCTCAGCGAATTCCGAAAAGTGCTTCGCGCAGCTTCCTTCTCCCTCCTTGACATCTTCGCGAAGACTTTCCGAGGACATTCTCCTCGGTCGGAAATTTCTTTCCGCCGATTCGCACCTCTGAAAAGGGTTACCGCTTTATTCTTGGCCTCTTTTGACACCAAAGAGGATCCCCAGGGCGCTTTAAATGCCCTCTTCGCTCCTCCTCGAGACGAAACTTCAACAGTTATTCTTCCTCCCAGGATCCTGGCCCTTGACTTTGCTTTAAAGGACAGCCATTATTTATGTCCTTTAACGTGGTCCTTTATTAAAAAAGATTGTTTTTCCCCTTTTCCAGACGGAGATCTGCTCGAGCGCTTTGACGGATGTCATCCATGCTGTCATCAACGGGACAGATGGATGTCTCTTCTGCTTTGGACATGCCGGCTTGGGTGAGCGAAGCTCGATAAAATATTGCTAAACAAATGGAGAAATGAGAAAAAAAAAGAAAAAGAATAATTACCCCGTCCTATCAGCCGAGGGAGCGGTATCTCAAAATTTGGCACCCTTTGCTCCCGAGGATCTGACATGGCAAAATGGAATAGGAAATCGGCAATTATTAATTTCATTTAATTTAACCGGAGATTATTTATGAAACTCCTGATAAACTTCCCGAATGGATAATCGGATTTTTCTTTCCAAGTGAGCCTTACTCTTGCATTCCTACATCTTCTCCTTCGTCCTTATCTCCCACCTCCTCGACAGTGATACGGTCGGGTGAGACGAGGAGTTGTTTTACATTTTAAGTAGTGATATCGAGTTTGCATGCAAATTCGTAATTATGCGGCCTGAGGAAAGAGGGGAAAGTGCCCAAAGGAAGTGGGAGAGAATCCTGGACAAGAGGAAAGACATCGGCCAAGAGAGGGTTGATTAAGGAAGGGCAAGGTTACATTTTCTTTTTTTTTTTCTTTTCTCTCAAATCGCCTCAAAATGCAAAATCTGACTTTTACGCTATTTTAGAATGTCCATTTTAATGTAAATCGAATTTTTGCAATTAAATCCTCGGAGTGGCCGGGAAATCGTTATCGCGATGACAACGACGTAATTGAATTCCTCAATCCCCGCATTGCGGGGGTGCCCATTATGTGACTGGCATAATTAAAGGGGATGCAATTTATTTCCATTTTCTCCTTGGGCATGAAAAAATAAATAGGAGGAGAAAAAATGGCCCCCGCGTCGATAACTCTGGACGCCTACCGCCGCCATTTATTGCTGCGATATTACGCTCCTTCAGGACTCGCGAAGGATTTTCCAAAGGAGCTGGGCGACGGGCAGGACTCCCGGGAAGACGGGAAATATAATCCGGGAGAATCGGCAAAAGTCCCGAGGGACTGGCTGGGAAAATGCAATTCGATGCAGGGACGCCTCGAGGAGCACCCCTTCTCACCCCCGATGCCCGAAAACCCGAATTAAAGCTTGAAAATATGAAAAAACCATTATCTACTATATTTCTCCCCCAATTTTTGCTAAAAATCCAAAAGAAACTTATCAGAAATATTTGGAGGGGAGCGATATATTTTTTAAAAAATCTGAAAATGAATTTGACTAGTGAATAAATCCTGAGAAATTGTGTCGATTTTCCTAGTGTTTTAAATAAATCCCTAGGGGCAGTTTCCCTTGGAATTGTTCTATTTCTCATCTCCGATTTTCTTCCCGATGAAAAGCTCGAAAGGGATCGAAAAATGAACCGGGTCACCCCCGAACGGTGGACCGGAAGTTTCCTCATTTCGTTCCGGCGGGAGCGGAAGTGGAAATATAGGAATAATGCCGCGGGCCCAAGGAGCCGGAAGGAAGTTGATTTAAATTGAGAGTCCTTTTACTTTCCCCGGGGAACCGGATGAATGTACAGAGGCCGGGATGAAAGGAGAATGACGGGGAAGAAGATGTTGAAATGGAAACGCCTGCCCGGCTTAATGGTCGCTGCAAGAAGAGGGCAAAGCTTCTTATCTTCCTTTTTTTCCCTCTCGTCCTTGGATCGTATCAGGACTTTCCTTCGGCCGAAACGAGGTGGAAGAGGGGCTTGGAAAACATTGTTTAAAATGATCTCGCTTTGCATGAGAATCTTCGACAACGACGCCATTACCGGGGGTTAAGGTCGCCCCTTTAAGGGGGTTGATGGGCGGAAAGGGTGCGCCTGAATTAAAAGTGAAAAGGACAAATTCATACTTTTCTGGCAAATGTTAGAATATTATTTCCTAATGGAAATTAATTGCGGGTAATTTTTCGGAACGAGGAGGCCTGTGGATATTCCATTGTTGATCGAGTTGACACTTCCTGTCAGGTAAAGGGTCCCCATTAATTGGGACAGTGTCTCGCTTAATCAGGGGACTCGCTCTCGTCTCCTTCCTTCCTGGCGGTTCCCTCGGGAACACTTCCTCCCCGAAGCGACCAGTCGCCGTTCCCCCGGGAAACGACCCGTATTTGAGGAGTTAATTGTTAGCTTATTAACGAAGAGTCGTTTAGTAAAGCGTCGCTAATTGCAGGCGGACTTAACGTCGAGACGATCGCTCTGTCTCCCGGCGAGGCGAAATTCCCTAGGGAGACTTCCCACCGGGATAAATTACCAGAAATTTCCAAACGGAGCGAAACGCGGTCTGAAGGGGCTGCACGGGAAAAAAAGTTGCAAGGGTATTCCCCGAGAGAAAAAAAATGCAGATACACGAATTCAAAACGTATAAATAATTGGCGTTGGGTGGAGGTAAAGAGGAAATCAATTTTCTGAAAATTTGGAGGTTCGGGGTTTCAAGTTAGGAAATTAATAAAAGGTGCCACCCAGAAGGACACCGTCAAGAGAGGAATGGTGGGCGACCTAATATCGATTGCGAAATAAAATAGCTGGCGGGGAGGTCTTATTAAAATCATAAAACAGAGGAAAATGGCGGAGAGCAGGTTAGGGGGTGAAAAAGGGGATGCGGTGAAAGAGGGATTTGACGAGGAGAGGAAACCGACTTCAAGGGAGGACGGAGGAATAATGAAAACTCCGGCGTACCGTGGAATCTTAAGCGATACTTAATTGCCTTAATGTAAGTCGGTGAATTATGTTATTATTTAATTAGAAACCTGGCGAAGGATAAATAAGGGCGGCCGTATCCGCGGGGCAATTCGGGACGGGCGAGCCACCGAGTGATTTCATTTGCGGTTTCCCACCCACCACCCACCGCCCACTTCCACCCACCGCGCCGTCCCAGTGAATCGCTCACCGTTTTCTAAGGAAACATCAACGCGGGAAAATTTCCCGGAATCGTCTAAAAGGCGGGGAAAATCCCCGCCAAAAAGGTGCCACCACCCCCCGCGAAGTTGGCAAGATTTTCCGCGCTTTTCCCACGAATCGCTCGCGGTTCCGAAGGAGACTTCAACACGCGATAATCCGCGGAATCGCTCAAAGGCGCCGCTTGCGGAAAATCGCGACGGAAAGCCACCCCTCCACCCACCCCCCCTGGTAAGGGCTAATTAGAAACGCGCAAAGCTAAGTGCAAAGCTTCGTCATTGTCGCGGTCCATAGTACTTTGTGCCCGGCGTAAAGCCGCGACGTTTGAAAGGGCTGCGGTTTCATTCCGCGGGGAAAAAAACGCAGCTTTCTCCGGGGGGGGGGGGGGGCGGAGGGGAGGTGCGAGGTTTCCGCGCTCGCGGAAAAACTGAGCCTCCATTTTGACGATTGGACTCGTTTCTTCAATTTCCTCCCCACTCTCGGGCCGCCCCGGAAGTGGCTCGAAATGTGGGTGAAATTGTACCGGAAAATGGGGCGGGGGGTTATTATGGTCACCGTCGAGAAAGGTGCTGAAAGAAATTCTTTGTAAGGGTGTCAACCCTGCTTTGAGGCCTCGCCTAAAGGCTAGTCTCCCAGGGAAATGGGGATCCCTCGGTGGGAATTACGCGATGCTTTTTATGAGCCTGGAAATGGTAACGTCAAGGCTTCAAAGTGGCCCCAAGGGAGCTTTCCAGCTTTCCGAAAGATATCCGTGCTCGCGGAATTCATCGTTCATAATTACTGGGATCGCTTGGCGAGGCGCTTTTCCAAGTTTCCTCGGGAAATTGCTCCGCTCGAAACTGGGCATGCATTATCCATATTTCGCGTTACTCCGACTTTGCATTTATTATCCGAAGGGAGAAAATCCAAATCGTATGTCTGCGAGCAGATTTTCATGGGGTGCAATAAATGCCTTTATAATTTCATAATTTTAGTTGAACCTTTCCAGATTCATTATATACGTTCAATTAATTTCTGGCAATTTTCTTTCGCCCCGACAGGGAAATCCCACACGATGTTGGGCACCCCAGATATTTTTATATTTTAGTTGTACCTTTTTCAGATTCATTATAGACGTTCAATTAATTTCTGGAAATTTTCTTTCGCCCTGACAGGGAAATCCCACACGATGTTGGGCACCGCAGATATTTTTATATTTCAGTTGTACCTTTTTCAGATTCATTATAGACGTTCAATTAATTTCTGGAAATTTTCTTTCGCCCTGACAGGGAAATCCCACACGATGTTGGGCACCCCAGATATTTTCATATTTTAGTTGTACCTTTTTCAGATTTATTATACACGTTCAATTAATTTCTGGAAATTTTCTTTCGCCCTGACAGGGAAATCCCACACGATGTTGGGCACCCCAGATATTTTCATATTTTAGTTGTACCTTTTTCAGATTTATTATACACGTTCAATTAATTTCTGGAAATTTTCTTTCGCCCTGACAGGGAAATCCCACACGATGTTGGGCACCCCCGAGGCCGGACACACCCTCGGAGCAATTCCATGTGCAATTGCCTGGCTCTTTCGTGGAATTGCCGAGCAGCGTCAGAAAACTGGAGCGAGATTCAGCGTGAGGGTCAGCTGTGTGGAATTGAACACCGGTGGTCAGCAACAACTTCGGGATCTTCTGGCTGCCCATGCGAATGGTGAGCTTTTCCCGTAATAAAATTCCGAAAGAAATAACAAAACCAGCCGAAGTTTGTTAATGAAATAAAGGCGAAATTGCGTGACCGAGCGTTCTCCAAAAATCCCCGGAAAATCCGTCACTCCACCTTAATAACTCATCGGACGTGCCTCGGCACGAGGTTTCATTTTCAGGTAGATTAATAACCCCGCAGCTCTTTCCTCGATTTTTGGGACTTTTCATTTCTGAGATCCGAAATCGCCATCCGTCAGCTGCAGCTGCAGCTGTCAGAGCTGTTTCTTCCGTTCTCCATCGGGCATTTTCCGAGCAGTCGATAGTATATGGTATTTTTAAGTTTCCCTTTTTATCGAAAGGAGGAAGGGTCAGCTTTTAATGGCCCCGTCGAAAGTTCTCCTATATTTCTCGAGAAGGCGCTTTCCCGACCACTTTTCCCATTATTTTCAATCTTTTTCATCTCTAACCTCCCTCCATTCGACAGTCCAGTAATTCACATTAAATGATAAGATTCCGATAAGCTCCACCTTACAAATAAATAATTCCTCAGACTTTGACGGTCGGTATTTTTTTTTTTTCATACTCTTCAATTGCCGAATAACTTTACCGTGAGATTTCATTTCCTTTATTATTTAGTACCGATGATTATCCGTCACTTTTTCTTTCAGCCGCTTTCCAGTTCATACCTCATGGCGCAATTGTCGTTATTAACAGCTGTTGCTCTCACTAAGGAGGACAGTTAACGAAATTAAAGAGGGCTTTAAAGAGCCTAACTTCCCGGCTAAATCCATCCCTGCAAACCCTGTATAATACAGCCGGCAATTAATTTCGAGCCTTCGGCATAATAAGGGGCTGCCATAATCGCGGGGATTAATTAGAGAAGTGCGGCATTCTCTCTCCCTCTAATTGTAAGTGCGCCCAAAATCCCAGGATCTCCTCGCATATACTTACTTCCGGCAGAAGTCGTCACCCTTAATCGTTTCCGATTTTACAGCCGAGATTTCCCCCCCAATACGTTCACCTCCCTTATCACAAGCACCCTCGCCCTTAAAAAATGCCGTAAAAATATTCATATCCATAAATATTGCCCCCGCCAAGCGCCTTAATTGTTCTACATTTCATACACACTTCATCCCGAATTTTCCAATTTTTTTATCGTCCTCCTTTTATCGTTTAATTATTTATTATCAGGCCACGTAGAGATCGAAATGCTTCTTGCTTGAAAAAAAGCCGTAAAAATATTCATATCCATAAATATTGCCGCCGCCGAGCGCCTTAATTGTCCTACATTTCATACACACTTCATCCCGAATTTTCCAATTTTTTTATCGTCCTCCTTTTATCGTTTAATTATTTATTATCACGCCTCGTAGAGATCGAAATGCTACTTGCTTGAAAAAAAGCCGTAAAAATATTCATATCCATAAATATTGGCCCCGCCAAGCGCCTTAATTGTCCTACATTTCATACACACTTCATCCCGAATTTTCCAGTATTTTTATCGTCCTCCTTTTATCGTTTAATTATTTATTATCAGGCCACGTAGAGATCGAAATGCTACTTGCTTGAAAAAAAGCCGTAAAAATATTCATATCCATAAATATTGCCACCGCCGAGCGCCTTAATTATCCTACATTTCATACACACTTCATCCCGAATTTTCCAGTATTTTTATCGTCCTCTTTTTATCGTTTAATTATTTATTATCAGGCCACGTAGAGATCGAAATGCTTCTCCTGTAAAATCTACTCGAGAATCGACTTCGGGCTTTCGTCGGTCCCGGGAAAATTCAAAGCGACGGAATTATTTCTTCCCGGAAGGGTGGAGTTTTCCTTCGGGGTTTGTTCCCGACATTCCGCCCCCGGAATTCGCGGGGGGTATCGGGCACATTATTGCGGAACCGCGATTTCAGTACGTTTCCTTTTTATACACGTAGCCCGCAGGTGGCCCGGAAGAATGGTCTCGTTTCCTCCTTCCGGAATCCCGAGGCTTCCCGTAATGTGGAGGGAAATCTTTTTCCCGATTCCTCGCCCCGGGATTTGAGCCCTCGGGACCTCGACTCCTGTATTCCCGTGGACGGGTATTTGCATATATACGTGAACGCACGTTAGGGCGGTTACCGACAAATCGAGATTTACATTTCTCGTCTGGCTTGGAATATATATTTTTCGGATGCTTTTCATATTTCCTAAGCAGAAGGGAATTTTCCGAACAATTCATAGTTCTCATGGGAAAATCTTCGAAATGACGCGTGGAGTATGTACACAATGTATTTACACCTGGGCAGAAGATATTTATTGGTAAATTATCACAATATACATATTCGGTATCCAAGAGGAAATTCCAGAAATTATTCTAACAAATCCCCGGTTAACTTTAACCGCGCGTTTTGAGGCGCTATGAGAATAAAATTTAGTTGCGGCTAAACGCCACAGATGGCGACGTCGGTCATGAAGAGTCTTCGGAATAATGAATTCACGGGATTTCGACAGTTTGACGTCGATCTCTTTATCATTACTTTTCCGAAATGACATACTAAACGCTTCAGTTCGTATAATTTTTTAACATAGACGTAAAAGACTTCAAAATAAATATAAATGTCGGTAACGCGACTCGCCGGCTTATGTGCCCACTTAAGTATTCCGGATGACATAACCCCCAAAAAGGGTACTTATGAATTTCATTGTTCGATGTTACCGTGGATGACCGAAATTGGAGAATGTCGACTTTCACCGGTGAATGTCAACATTCACATAGTCGCTTCGTGTATGTCCGATTGCTAAATACCCTTATTTCTAACTTACACCGATAAATGTTGACATTCACCGGTGTGTGATTGTCGACACACTCTGGAGAGGGTCCGAATGTACAACAATGTAATGAAATATTCGATCTTTCACCGACGTATTTGTTATCTGTTGACATTCACCGGTGAAAGTCGACATTCTCCAATTTCGGTCATTCACGGTAACATCGACACCGATGAAATTTCTCAGCGCCTTTCATATCATCCTAATCCTGCGGAAGAATTTCTCGGGAATTCCGCTAGCAATGTTGGCGAAACGCAAAAATGAGAGAGCGCGGGGAGTGGTTTCCATATTTTTATTCTCTCTATGGGTTCCCTTACGTTAATATTTCCGAGATCCGGGATCTCGAGGGGAATCGAGCATGTTATTGCGAAACTATGACCCGGGTGTGTTCCCGTTCCTGGGGCCGATCCTGAGGAGCATTCCCGGCTGACTTCCGGGAGAAATTCCCGTAATGCGAATGGAAATCATTTCCCGGGCCGCCGGGGCCACCTCGAAAACCTGGAAAATGGTGGAAACTCGAAAACCCTGGAAACTCGGCCTCCACCCTCCAGGAGGGGTACGTGCTCGGGGCGGCACCCCTCGGAAGCATAAAATTCACATTGGAAACGGGATTTAGGAGTATTTCGGGCGATGGCCGTCTGCCGCCGTGGAAAAGCATCTTTTGTGGCCGATTGAACAGAACGAATCGGGGATTTCGCCGGCGTGGCCGAATTCCCCATCCAGGGTGATGCAAATTCCGAAGAGATACGCCGAACGGGGCAAGGATCGTCTTCCCGGCCTTGGAAAAATCCCCGGAAAATCCTGGAGTCGAGCAAACGCCCAGGAATGAAATTCACCGCCCGGCTTTTCAAACGTTCATTTTCAATTTTTTCTTTTTATGTAATTTCAAGAAAATTAATTTATCAGTACGGGTAAGAAGTTTCCGGAAATGACGCCTTCAATAAACGGGACGTTTCCTAAGATCTGGAAAATTAGCAATTTTCCGAGTTTCCATCAGTGGATATCGAACGAACGGAGAAAAATTCTCTATTGACAAGGGGCAAGGATCGTCTTCCCGGCCTTGGAAAAATCCCCGGAAAATCCTGGACTCGAGCAAACGCCCGGGAATGAAATTCACCGCTCGGCTTTTCAAACGTTCATTTTCAATATTTTCTCTTTACGTAATTTCAAGAAAATTAAGTTCGCCCAGGAATGAAATTCACCGCTCGACTTTTCAAACGTTCATTTTCAATATTTTCTTTTTATGTAATTTTAAGAAAATTAATTTATCAGTACGGGTAAGAAATTTCGATTCGAAAGAAAATTCCGGAAATGACGCCTTCAATAAACGGGACGTTTCCTAAGATCTGGAATATTAGCAATTTTCCGAGTTTCCATCATTGGATATCGAACGAACGGAGAAAAATTCCCTATTGACATGGAAAGCCATACCTTTTCCCGAGACAAATTCCCGGGAAAACAATTTCCAGACGGCGCGAGCCCCCGGCAAAAAATCGGAAAAAACGGAGTCCCGATATATCGACCAATCGATACGCGGCCCAATAGGTATCGATACATCGGAGAAGCTGGAAGGAAACCCCGAAGACACAATACGCAACGCAATGTACAATACGCAAACGTTCCTCTTCATCCCCCGAGAATCCCCATCCCCGGAGTGCATATACCAGGAAAAATGTGCGTAATGTGTATCGAGGGTGCACACCCGCGTTCGCTTATTGTTTTACATCCTTACTCCATCGGGGCGGCCCGGGGGTGGCTCGGGGAAGGAGGAACAAAAAGTCAAAAGTATAAAGTAAAAAGCACCCTTGCTTTTCCCGGGGCTCCTCTCGGTGTCTTTTACGCGATGCGGAAAAAAAAAAGGGGGTGGCAAGGAATGCACACACGTGCAACGCACCGTAGGTGGGGTGGAAATGCGTAGGGGGTTGAAAACCGAGGAAAGTAGAGACACATTCTGTGCACTCGATGGGGACATTCTCCGACCGAGACGCGGGAAATACCTTTTTCCGGGATGGGAAATCTCCCGAGGAATATTGCATTCTGAAAAGTCCGCCCACCCTGGCGTCGATTTTGGCATCGCCGTGACGTTTGGTCAACCGACGTTTCCGTGGATTATTTATTTTCTTACGTTTCGCTTCGATTTGTCATATTTTTCACGCCGTTTCAGTTCATCGAGGCAAGTACGTGGGTCTCGGTATTTTTTCTTTGGCACCAATTCTGAGAAAATCCATTTTTTTTAACTCTTTACTAAAGCCGTTCGACGTTTGGTCCAATGTTGCCTGCACGCGTTGACGAATTACGCCCTTATGTCGACAGGGTTCCGTAGTTGAAGGGTTAATAAAAGTGATGTTAATTTCTGGATCTTCTCGATCGAGGGGACGGGTTCCAAAAAGTTCAAAATGCGGATTTTAAATCCATTTTTTTAATCTTTTACTAAAGGCGTTCGACGTTTGGTCGAATATTGCCTGCACGCGTTGACGAATTTCGCCCTTATGTCGACAGGGTTCCGTAGTCGAAGGGCTAATAAAGGCGATGTTAATTTCTGGATCTTCTCGATCGAGGGGAGGGGTTCCAAAAAGTTCAAAATGCGGATTTTAAATCCATTTTTTTCGTTCGACGTTTGGTCGAATATTGCCTGCACGCGTTGACGAATTTCGCCCTTATGTCGAAAGGATTCCGTAGTCGAAGGGTTAATAAAGGCGATGTTAATTTCTGGACCTTCTCTATCGTGGGGAGGGGTTCCAAAATTTTCAGCTCGATGAACCGAGCGGACGCAATTAAGGGGCGAAACTAGGATCGAGTCTGCCCCCTGATTTCCTCCAAGCTTTTAGCTTTTACGAGGGAGCTTGCGAAAGTGAGCCTTTTTAGCGGCGGCAATTAAAGGATACTCGTTTTTGACCTAGGCCAAGTCACTGTGAAAGTTCGGGGGATGAGCGCGAAGGTAAGGGTTGAAGTCGGCTTCTCGAGTTAATGCCGAAAGGGGTGGAGGAGCTTTCAGAGGTAGCGAAGTTCGGTATTATCGAGGAAATCTTAAGGTGGTTATACCAGAACTTGCACCTCGGTTTACGGAACGCCTAAGTAAAGCGTTTTGCGCTCGCCGGGATATACGACATTTTGAGTAATTAGAGGGGCGCATATTTACCCCTCCGTTCAAAATTACTGGGGCGTGCATTCCGTAATAACGCGCCTCCACCCTCCCCCCAGGAAATTCACTACTTCTCTATTTACCTTGAATAATTAAAATAATCCTAACCTCTTTAGCAATCCCGACCAACACGATTTAATTTACATATCCGATGACTCCTACCCTGTTTCTCAATATTACAATGGAAATTCAAGAGAAGCGCCCCAAAAGTGAACATTGAAAAATTCGACAAACTATAACTTGTAGATATTAATATCTGCAGATTTTATATTTTTTTTATAAGTGCAGCGGTGGAGTACAAGATCATGGAATTAACTGAATAGGGGGCGATTTACACGGTCTCACCCGAGGAGCTTACATTTTTCCACAAATGGCAGAAATTATTTATCGACGAAATGTCATCGGAAATATTTTCGGAATAATTTTCAGAGTCGGAATCCGATTCGGAAAATGCGTCCGAGGCTCCCGGAAAGGGCGACGTGTCTCGTGAATTTCGGGGGTGGTTTCCCGTACGTTCCCGGCACCCCCGCGAATCATCCCTTTCCCTGTATCAGGAAAAGGGAGTGCGCCCCATTCATTTCGAGGCCGGGTGTATAAAGAGCAGACTCGAGCTTTTGCTTTACGCCGCCGCCGAGACTTTAATCCGCGGCCATTTTTCGCGCTTCCTCCGTCGACCGGCATTTTCCGTTTTCACAAGCCTCGTTGAGTTTCCCCAGAAATATTTTCACGGACTCCAAGCCCATTCGAAGGACCCGCAAAACCAAAAACAAAGACCAACCCACGTAATCGGCCTACTCGAACTTTTTCCCGAATTTTTCCACGAGACTTTTCGTATTTTTTATGCCTGTTTCCTATTTCTTATTAATCGACATTTTCCAGGTGAGTCCCTAAACATTTTTATTTTTCAAACAAGCCCTTCGATATTTATTTCCCGAAGGAGCCAAGTCGACGTTTCCCATCCCAAGCGATTTCACTGGACTTTTTCCCAGACGAGCTTTTCTCCATTTTCCGGGCGTTCCACCGTTTTCCAAAATTGCTGGAAAAACAGCTGCGAATCGTTCCATCGTGACACGGTTTTCGGTTTTATTACTTATTAATGGTTATTAATTGACTTTTTCCGGGTGAATCCCTAAACATTTTTATTTCCCAGGTGAACCCCTAAACATTTTTATTTTCCAGGTGAATCCCTAAACATTTTCATTTTCCAAACAAGCCCTTCGATTTTTATTTTCCAAACAATCCCTTCGATATTTATTTCCCGAACGAGCCAAGTCGACGTTTCTCTTCCCAAGCGATTTCACTGGACACTTTCGCAGACGAGCTTTTCTCCATTTTCCGGGCGTTCCACCGTTTTCCAAAATTGCTGGGTAAACAGCTGCGAATCGTCCCATCTTGACACGGTTTTCGGTCTGACGTCTCATCCGAGCTTTCGCGGGACCGCGGAAATCATCTAGGGAAGAAAGTCGGAGTTTTCCTGAAAACGGTCGGGAAAATCGCGGCTCATCCGTGGATCCTAGAAAATGCGGATGTAAGTGCGAAGGGAGGTGGGGGTGGTTAAAGCTCGTTTCGCGTCCATTACGCGTGTCCATGTGCCTAGGCAGCCCCAAGATCTCTCCCTCGAGCTTTCCCCTCGTCCTCCGCCTTTCTTCCCGGTTTTATTTCCGCACTCATCCGCAACATGCAGCGCAGATGCCGGCAATATTACTTCCTCTGGTCCCTTTTATGGATATTGCCACACGACCCACCCCCCGTCCCCAGCAGTAACGTACCCCCCGCGAGCAGCTTTCGCTAAACTATAAAAACCCACTCGCCAAAATATTAGCTTACCCTGAAGATGATACCGCATTGTCGCCGTATTTCCCTCACGGAACAGGGACGCGTCCTGAATCCTCCGGAAATATTACCGAAACTGCTTTACGAGCTTGACGGTCATATTTCGGGGCGCTGAACTTCCGGATATCCGGGAGAAAATTCTCGTATGCCGCACATGCTCTTAAAGTACTCTTCCTCATATCAGGAACACATATCAAACGATTCGACTTCGTTAAAAAAAAAAAAAATACAACCCCCTCTATTTTAAAATGAAATTGCAAATCAGGCCAAAGATGCGCGAAATATTAAATCTCCCGATGAATTTTTTTGTAAGTATTCTTCCTCATATCAGGAATACATGTCAAATGATTCGACTTCGTTAAAAAAAAAAAAATCAGAAAAATACAACCCCCTCTATTTCAAAATGAAATTGCAAATCAGGCCAAAGATACGCGAAATATTAAATCTCCCGATGAATTTTTTTGTAAGTACTCTTCCTCATATGTGCCCATAATTATGAAAGTGGTCTAAGTCAAAATAAAAAAAAAATGAGTTTATCAGTTATTTCACGCCATATTATTTCAAACGAAATTAATTCAATGTAATTTCGAAACAAAAAATATATGACTTAGACCACTTTCATAATTATGGGCACATATCAGGAACACCTATCAAATGATTCGACTTCGTTAAAAAAAAAAAATAAAAAATACAACCCTCTCTATTTCAAAATGAAATTGCAAATCAGGCCAAAGATACGTGAAATATTAAATCACCCGATGAATTTTTTTCTACATTCATATTTCAGGATATCACATATACACCCCTTCGTACTAGTCATTGGGGGATGTATGTTTCATAAAATAATTTACCCCTCCCCTGAGTTTAATAGAACGAAGAAAAGTGCCTTGCGATACAAGCGAGTCTGAAAATTCTGAATAAAAAAAAATTGATAATAAATTGGAAGAAGCGATCGATGACGGATTCCCTCTTGTAGAGATAGCCTGATCGATGATTTACATGGTGGCCGTTTAAGGGACGTCGCCGTAAAACCCGCCTAGGGCCGTGTAAACGCCGTTGAAGCAAACGGTCGCATTTACGGTCGATCCCCGGCAGATCGGTTCCGGGATGTAAAAGCGCGCATTTTTATGCAGCTGCAGCTGCGTAAAAATGGGCCTTTACGAGCGGACCTTCATAGATCCTCCCTTACCGTCGATCCAATAAAAGCGCGACGTTTCGTCGGTTCGGCTTTTATGCTCCTCGAAGTGCACCGCGAGAGCTGCATCGGAGATCAATGCAGGTTTACGTCGCGATCGGGAGATAGTGACGTGTAATTACATTTTAACGCTGATCGCAATTTACAGCGACTTTGCGCCCCTCGGTCTCCTTTCGACGCCGAACGTCATATCTCAGAATTATCCTTGTCGTTAATTCCCACCTTGGTGAGAATCCTGCCGTTTGGTCCATGGCGATAAAAATGCCACTTTGCCGCATGGAAAGTCAAAAGGGGCCTATGAGATATTAAAAAAAAAATTGGAAAAAATCCAGGAGCCCGAAGTTTCATTTGGGCTTGCGGAAAATGCATCGCGTGACAATGGGGGAGTTTTGCATCTGATTCAGGACGCGATCGTTGTTGCATTTCAGACTCGGAGCAGTCGCCAGCTGTATATCTCCGGGATGATCCGCTTTTCGGGACCCTGCAGCTGCAACAGCACAGCGAGCTACGTGCACCGACTGCCGAGAGGGCTGCTTTTTACCTGGACGCTGCAGTTGCAGGACGTCAGAGAGAAGACGGCGACGCGCACATGCTGTACACGTTACACGTGTACCAGTACAGCGTGGCAGGGAAAGGAGGAGGTAAATCCGAAAAAAAAATGCAGATTAGCTAAGAAAATGTATACAGGTCGTCGCATTTAAAAAAGATACACCTGAATGATTAATCCAAGTTTTTATGCAAAATTTCGCCTGACAATGGCATAACAAATGATACCGTCGAATTCGTTTTACCAAGCCGAACAACTTTTAGAGGGATGAAAATGACTGTTGCCATTTAAGAAAATTGACGCATATCATGTAGCATAGAACGATAAGCAGTTATGTTGAAAATCTCCTTTTCATAAGTCATGATCAATAAAAGAGTCCTCTTCCCGTTCGCAGTCGCCGGGGGCCGAAGCAGACTGCACCTGATGGACCTGGGGAACTCGGACCGCGGAAAGTCCTCCGGAGGCATCCCCTTGTCGGGCCTGGGCAACATCCTGCTGGCCATCTTCAACGGGCAGAAGCACCTGCCCTACAAGGAGCACAAGTTGACCCAGCTGCTGAAGGAGTGCCTTGGGTCGCTGACGTGCCACGCGGCGATGATAGCCCACGTGTCCCCAAACGCTCAGCACTACTCGGAGACCCTGACGACGGTGCAACTGGCGTCAAGGATCCACAGGATGCGCCGGCGGAAGATCAAGTTCGTCGGCGGCGGTACCCAGGGAACCGGAAGCGGGGGCAGTTCCGGGGAAGAGGCAGCGAGACAGACCAGCGAGTGCGACCCCAGCTCCAGCGACCTCTCCGCCGACACAGTCATCTACGTAGGTCCGGGTGCCGACGACGCCACGGATGGAGAACACCCTCCGGTGTACCTGCCGAGTCTGAATTCGGGTGACAACAGGTGCGCCATGGGGAAGGTCCTGCGCGGTTCGGCCGCGGAAAAGCCCAGCAAGATCCCGGAAGAGCGGAGCCCGGCTCACAAGGCGACGAAGGTGATGAAGACCCTGACCCAAACCGCGTCGAAGCAAACCTCCCCCGCGCACAGCATAACTCCGAAGGCCAGTCCAGCCAGGAAGTCCTCGGTGAAGGTGCCAGGGTCCAAGATCACGGACTCCCCTGGGAGCAAGATCCCCGTCGCGGCCCCAAGTGGAGGATCCGACGAGCAGTGGATAGACGGACCCAGGATCTCCAAGTCCAAGGTGGCAGAGGCGAGGCACATGCTGAAGGACCCTCACCACAAGAAGGAGACCTGGGTGGACGGCCCCATGCAGCTGACGGGACCTCCTCTCCACGGCCAGCACTCCTCTTCCGGATATGGGTTCATGGACAGCCATAAGAAGAGCATGATCAGGAAGTGGGTGGAGAATCAGTCCTCCCAGATCCAGCGCACCAAGCACGGGGCGTCCAGGATGGAGGCCAAGATGCCGCAGACCTCGTCGACCTCGCAGTACAAGGAGCTGACCACCTTCAAGAGCTGCGACGACGACGACAGGTCCTCCACCACCATAGAAAGCGATGGACTGAAGTTTAACGAGATCGAGGATATCACCGAGAAATTGGGGGCGAAACTGAATCTGATGAACGTCAAGTCCAACACCGATTCCGGGCTGGACTTGACCGCCAGTCCCGTCATGGACGACGGGACGGACAAGGAGAAGATCGAGGTCCAGGAAGACGAGGACGATGACGAGGAGATCGTCGTCCCTCCACCTTTACCGCTTATAGAGCCGCTTAGCAATGGGGTCAGTAGAGAAGTCTCGATGGAGAGTCTGAACCTCTCGCACAAGGACGTCGTTTTGCCGTCGAGGCACTCCCTGAGCTCCGAGGACGAGATCCTGGAAATCGTCGAGGTCGAGGACCTGGAACCGGTCCCTATGCAGGACTCCTGTCTCCAGGTCACCGAGGAAGACATCGCTCTCTGCATGGGGGAGAATCCGCTCCCGGAAAGCGACCAGGAGGAGCATCCCCTGAGGATACTCAGCCAGGAGAACCTCACCGTCGTGTCCACCTTCACCGGTGAGTCTCTTCGGGTGCATCCTAACCCTGAAGCAATTTCCACGTGCCCACCTTGGAGATACCTCTGCTCTTCCCCATCCCCTCTTTAAACCCCATGCCCATAAGTGTAGCCTCCGGATCAGGCGTCCTCTTCGTCATCCCCCTCGCCCAGAGGTTCCCCAGATACCGAAGAAGACAGGAGCCACCCCCTGGAGAACCCAAAGGCACCGCGTAATTCCTCCTCCAGGACTCTTCCCCTTCTTCAAGGCCCCTGAGCAAGTCCAGACCGATCCTGTACATCTAGTTTCCTTTTTTATCCGCGACCCTGAAAAACGGAATCGAATATTTTCCAGACTCCATGTCGGTGATGTCGGACACCGAGAGGTACAGACCGCACTACCCACCCCCGGTAGGGGCGGGGGTGCTGCCCCGGCCGTACTTCGATCACGAGGACTTCCTCGAGCAAGAAACCAGACTGAAGTTCGATCAGTTGGCTCGCCTGCACGAACTCTACCAGAGCAAACTTGCCCTGGCCAACGTCTCCAACTCGGCGACCTACCAAAGGGAGAACTCCGTCAGCGTCCGAGATACCCCATGTAAGTGTTGAAGGTTGATCCTCATCTTCTAACTTCTGGGGTTCCAAGTCCCCTTAATGGGCATCTAGACGTTACTTGTCCGTCTCGGTGGATATAACAAATGAAGCTCGACAGCAAATCTCGGTTAGACTCGCTCCTTTATGTGTACCATGGTCTTACGGTGTACAATTAACGCAGGACCTATTCCAGCCGCCGGGGTCTTCCGTCCACCGTCTCGCTGCCAGTCCCTCTCCTTGTCGGACGTCCTCTTCAACGACAACGCCAGCAACCACGGGAGCATATACAGCGAGCCCGCCTACACCGCCGGGAAGTCAGAGCAGGAGAAGATCTGCGACAACTGCCGACAGAGCATGTCGAGGCCGGCCACAGCTTCCTACTGGTACCCCAGCAGCGTGGCCCACTTGGCGAGTCCCAGAAGGTACTGCGGGAAATTAGGGGAGTGCAACATCTCCAGCCTGAGGCACCCCGACGGCGCGTCCAACCCAAACTTGAAGGAGGAGATCGAAAGGATACCGGGGAACGGCGCCTCCGGCTCGGACCCCGAAGAGGAGTACGTCGAGGCGAAGAAGCTCTTCACAGCTGCCGAGAGACCCGAGAGGACGGTCACTGGGAAGTCCGACATCGAGGAGGACGTCAAGCTCCCAGGTGAGAATCCCTTCAGCTCCGATCTTCACCTCGAAGAGGGTGAATTCGGCCAAGGTATTTCCTACCCTGACATCAAACCGTCAGAGCCGAAGAGAACGGACCTAAGGTCGAGGAGAGTACTCGAAGAATCCCCATTTCCAGCTCCCGCTCCGCTGCAGCTGTCCATGGGAACCCTGGTGCCCTCTTCGGGGCGCATGCAGAGGAAGATCCTCGGCCTGGGCTCTTCCCTAGGTCTGAACAAGGAAGGATACGACTCCGGAGCCGACTCCACCCCACGTGCTGCCAAGCTCTCCCCGGCGACGCTGTCAAGGCACAGAGCCGAAAGCTCCGGATACGACAGCATCGTCAGGGACAGCGAGACCAGCAGCATAACCAGCGACTCCTCGCGGCAGACCAGCGCTCTCCAGGAACACCAAGGTACAAATCCACCCTTTCCGTCCCATCAGCAATTCCGGGTCCCGGATTACATTTCAAATCCTCGAAAGCTCTAAATCGCCATCCGGATCCTTGGGCGTTAGGTCACCAAAATCATAATCGTTCCCGATCCCGTCGATAATGTTGGTCCTCGTCACCATCGGGAACATCCAAAATAGTTTAATATGGTTTAATATAATTTTTATTTCCCAAGCAAGGGGAAAGACTGCCTTAATCCCACACCCAGGAAGCTCCCTCTCCTCCACCCGATGACCAGCGACTAATATCTAGTGTGCACCCGCTAAATGTCGTCCCCACCTCGGTGATTCTTCTCAGGTGGTGCTCTGGGCGTTCTAACCTCGACGTTGTGCGGGTGTTTCAGCGGTGGGACGCCGGGCGGCAGGATGCGCGGCCCGGGCGCGGGCGCGACCGGCCGCGCCTCCCACGGGAATCCTCGCCTACACAGGCGAGGACGTGGCGATCCTGGAGCGGCGCGCAAGGGTGCGCTCGGACCCTCGTGGCACGACGTCCAGGATACACAGCCTTCGGCTGCGCCAGCGCCTACTTAGGCAGGAGCTCAGGTTGGCCAAGCGGCGCCTGATGGTGCCGGACGATCGCTGGAGTTTCGAGCGTGAGTTTCCCCCAGGTCTCCTCCTGCATCTCTGTAGGAGATGAGGATGGTCCCACCAGCTCCCAAAACGAAGGGATGCCATTAAGATTAACCCTAATTACGCGGAACTTTCAATTAGTCCTGATGTTCCAGTGCACGTCGAAGACAGCATGGACTGGCGGGACCCGTCCTTCCTGGAGGCCCTGGAGTCGGAGACGTACATCCTGCAGAAGAGGGTGGAGGCTTGCAAGAGCCACGTGCTCCTGATCACCTGCTTCGACGCCGTTCCCAGCACCCTCCGACCTGGACTAGTCCATCCACCTTCTAGGATTGAGATTACCTAACACAGACCAGGATCAGCCCGGGCCACCGCGTGCTGATCACCGGCCCTTGTCGTCCTTGCCAGGGACCGTTCTCCGGGACTGACTTATTCCATCCTCCAGTCATCCTGGACCCCCTGGATCCCTCTGGACGTGTACAAACCGCAGTCCGTACGGAGCTTGGGGGACCGATGCATATACAATTACCCGTAACAACGTTCAAGACCCACAAATTAAATCATCGGCTGGAGTTCAACTTCCTGGGGTACTGGAATTTCGACCTATCCCAGGACGACCCGTCCTTGGCGAAAAGGGACGATGACTCAAATGTCTGACGACGGAAACTCATGGATCAATTTTTTTCCTGACAAATTACTCGGTTTGCACTTTTTGTTTTTCCTTAATTTCGCAAAGCGAATGTCACTTGTCAACCGAAGGACGTTTCCTTCGGAAGTTGAAATTAATCCTGATATTTCAAATAGCGTCGATTTTGTCAGTTGAAAGCGAGAGGACATCGGATGATTAGTTCTACGATTTTTAATTGCGGCCTCTGCAATAAACTTTTCGGCAGATGTGGCCCTTTTTTCACCTGCGGACCATTGTTGTTTCGATATCCTTCGTATTGTTGCAAGGCGACGTCCATGATCTCTTATAAGTTAGCGTGAACTTTTCTTTTTTAAATGTCCCCTTCGTTCGAGTCGATCCACATTTTTTATAGAGCTCTGTGTCGAATTTTACTACAGACTAGAGAATTGATTCGGACGGATGGGACTTTTTGTTTACACGGATGAACTAATTATTACTGCGTAACGATGTAATTGTCGGCAGGATTTGTATTTTTTAGGTGCCGAAAATAATTCGATGGGTGTAATGGTCTGAGAGGGCTACACCGATATTGTCTATAGAGTTGGGAAAAAAAGGAAGGACGTTTTAAACATTCGCGCGAGAGGCACCTGAAATTATTGTTAATTAGACGAAAGTTTCGAGATAATCGCTAGTCGACGTCGGCTTGTATGATTTTCATTGTTGCACAATGACATTGCGTACGTCAACGGCTGGTTAATAATAGCGTAGCAGCGCGATGCACCGCTGGACATGGTGCACTTCTGTTTTATAAATAATATAATAATTATTTATGGCCCCAGCAGTTAAAGAAAAGGAAAAAAAATATCATATATTGTAAAAGACGTTCACAACGAAAACAGTAATCCCGTGTAAATGATAAGCCTCTCCGAATTCTCGGTAGCCTAGTTGTTATAATTTCCCCCTAGCCTCTGGCGTGAGCAATAAACAATTACCTGGACAACCTCCGTCGATATTAATTACACCGAATTATTGTAGTCAATTGGAAACGACAACCGGGACTTCCGATCAAGACTGTTCAGCTAATAGCTGCCTATTTTTGGAGCAAGACGAGAGAGAGAAAGAGTGAGGAAAAGGAAAGAATTGTTAATAAAAACCAACAGGAGAGGAATAAAAATCGACGACGAAATGGGGTGGAAGATCTTCGTTATTTTTTAACTCACGGCTCAGGCCGTAACCCCGGCGGGATTTAGAGAATACAGTCAAAGGATAAATGAAAAATGTTGTAATGGAATAATTTATGCAATTGTTTATTCCCGACTGTATGTTTATATCGCGCTTAGTTGAAGTACGTGTCTTCCGGTATCTTGTGCAAGAGAGCGAGAACATCGATTGCGGCCATTTGCGAGAAAGAGATCGCGAAGGCCCGGCGACAATGAAAGCTTGGATAAATAAATAAATAAATAAATAAACGCGATGCGAGGGAAGAAGAGAAAAGCGCAGACGTATTTCGAAAGTCCAAAAGTAGTCCGCGGCGCGACGTCCTCAAGGATTTTCATGGATTTTCATGAATTTTCAAAAATTTTCACCAACTCCGCAAGATGGCGGACCGTAGAGAGAGAGAGCTTCGATTGTTTAAAACGTTTCTTTTCGTGTAATTAACTGCGTCTGTTGATAAAGGTGTTAACAATAGAGGCAACGAACGTGATGGGGCGAAATGGAAAGTGGAGGGAAGGATATTAAGCGAAGAAAGTAAAAAAGAAACTGAGATTCTTCGATGGCGTCTTTTTGCACCGCCGGAGAGACTCACTGCCAAAATGCCGTTATACGATTTACAATTAATTAAACGAGAAAACGCCACAATAACTATATTAATGCACGCACGTTAATTCAAGGTATTATCGTAGCTTTAATCGTTACTGCAGTTACCGCACCTCGTAGGACATTGTATTTCACGATTAGAGAAAAGAACCGACAAAATGGCCGGCCGTGCTACAATGGCGATAGTCTTTGTCATTGTTCCTGACAATTTGTCCGATGCCGGCAATTTTGCGATACTGCCGCGAAGAATCAATCGAACACCCTTTCTCGTATCGAATTCCGTGTTTTCGAGATCGTCCTTGGTTTCAGCCATTTTGTCGAAAATCGACGTCGATGGTTTTCCTCATTTTTTTACATGGACGCTATGATCTGGATTCGGATGTTACATTTAATTGCGATGAATCTTGAATTTATGGACAATTCCTCGACATCTTCCAAAGCGCAAGGAAATTTTCAAATACTTGACACGTCCATATTAACGCTCGATAAATTATTTGTTGAATAAAAAGTGTCTGGAGATTTACGCAATGGAAGGTAACCTTCGGTAACCTAAATTTAATTCTTAAAAGTAACGTCTTAACGAAATCGATCACGTGGGACATCTTTTTAATTTGCCTACTCTGTGTAAAAAGTAAAAATATAAATATCAAATAATTTGCCAAAAAATTCCGAAAATTTACGATCGTTATTGTTAACTTAAATCGCCGATGTTTAGAAATCTCAATTGTTTCCCACGTCGCGTTTTCGCTTTCGACAAATCGTTTTCCAACCCGCCGCGAAACCTATATTTCTTTTCGGAAATTCGACTCCGCAATTATTGAATAAATGGAAATCTTTTATTAACGATTATTTATCCTCGCCCCAATTATACGGGAATTCGTGGCGGGCCGGAAATGAGATTGCGTCCATTCCTAACGATTCTAATTCAACGACCGACTTTTTTATTCTTCTGGCGAAGGGACGAGTACGCAAGCTCGCTGTGAAAGCACGAAATAATTAAACGAGTGCACAAGAGGGAGGATATGAAAAAAAAAATAGAAGAAGAAGAAGAAGAGAGAGAAGAGTAAAGCTCGACCTGTACGCGCGTTCGCGAAACCCGTTAATTACTGCCAAAATGCGAATCCGTCTGCCGTTATTCTTCAGCATCCCACTAAACGTCTCTGTACCATAATACTTGTACCATATTTATATTTTGTATGTACAAATTAGCCATGTAATTTCTTGTAATAAAGAACAATTTACAACGTGCATCCCGTATACTATTACCTTAACGATCATACCTCAGGATTCGTTGTAAAAATGAAAATCATCTTCCTGAAGATCTTGATATCAGTACTTTGTTCCACTTTTTTTTATCTTTCCGCCGCCTACGAAAATTTTACGCGAAGGTCGTGTCGTCTGTCATTACGCTTCCAGTAGACGAAGAGGAGCAGATATACGTAAGCGGGAATAATTATTTGACGCATCTAGGTTACGTAGTTGAACCGTAATCGCGCACTCCTCCATATTTGGCGGGCAAGAATTATTAATAAATATTCAATAATGAAAGATACTGGAGTGAAAAAAAAATTCCCAAAATTCTTCACCTTCGTCTACGTTCGATTACAAAAGAAACTTATATGCAATTTGATTGCTGAAGAGGGTAGAGTAAATTTCCAATGTTACATTTAAACTCGAAGATGAAAATATATTTCAGCGGATCGCACACTCTTCCATCTTAGGCGGGCAAGAATTATTAATAAATATTCAATAATGAAAGATCCTGGAGTGAAAAAAAATTCCTAAAATTTTTCACCTTCGTCTACGTTCGATTACAATAGAAACTTATATGCAAATTGATTGCTGAAGAGCGTAGAGACAGGTTCAAAAGTTACATTTAAACTCGAAGATGAAATTATATTTTAGTAGATCGCACACTCCTCCATATTTGGCGGGCAAGAATTATTAATAAATATTCAATAATGAAAGATCCTGGAGTGAAAAAAAAATTCCCAGAATTTTTCACCTTTGTCTACATTCGATTACAAAAGAAACTTATATGCAAATTGATTGCTGAAGAGCGTAGAGATAGGTTCAAATGTTACATTTAAACTCGAAGTTGAAAATAGATTTCAGCAGAAGAGGGAAGGAAATTCGGCCTGGGACTTGGAAGGGAGGCTCCATTTTCCCGGTCCTTTCAGTCGGCTTTGAAAAAGCCGGATATCCCTGAAAAGAGGGAACCCCAGAATCCCGAATCCCCCGTCGGTCCTCGAAGAATGACTCGGCCATCGCGTCAACGAAGTGAAATTGGCCTAAACTGGGGACATGGTTTCGCGTTCCAGCACTCCGTCAGAGCAGTGGACGGCCGCGAGTCCATCGCAAGAGCTCGAGAGGGGAGAAATCGGTCTCTCGAAATTATCGGGTCGACTCGAACGAGTATTCTTCGGCAAGTCGATTAGGGAGCTCCCAGCTCCGATAGTCGCGCGAAGACGCAGCAAGAAGATGGCTCGCGGCGCGAGTTTCTTCAAGATCTTCTTCGTGGTCGGAATCCTTGCCTCGCGGTCCTCGGCGTTGTCCAAGGACGAGTTCTACCCGTACACGTTCTCAGGATCCGCTTCTCTCGAAGCAGATCCCGATGGACAACTCAGATCTGCCGAGACCGTCTTGAAGACGCCCGTCGTCTTCTACGACAAAGTCTACAACACGCTCTTCGTGAGTAACTCTTCTTGAAATGTGATTCGGTTAAGTCAAGAATCACCATCGTCCAATAAAATCCGAAAGTGGGATTTGTAAACTTTTCTTTTTCATGAAATTTAAAAAAGAGGATTTACGGAAGGATTATCCAATAAAATCCAAAAGTGGGATTTGTAAACTTTCCTTTTTCATGAAATTTAAAAAATAGGATTTACGGATGGATCGTTCGATGAAATCCGAAAGTGGGATTTGTAAACTTTCCTTTTTCATGAAATTTAAAAAAGAGGATTTATGGAAGGATTATCCAGTAAAATTCAAAAGTGGGATTTGTAAACTTTCCTTTTTCATGAAATTTAAAAAAGAGGATTTACGGAAGGATCGTTCGATGAAATCCAAAAGTGGGATTTATAAACTTTTCTTTTTCATGAAATTTAAAAAAGAGGATTTATGGAAGGATCGTTCGATGAAATCCAAAAGTGGGATTTATAAACTTTTCCTTTTCATGAAATTTAAAATAGATGATTTACGGAAGGATCGTTCGATGAAATCCAAAAGTGGGATTTATAAACTTTTCCTTTTCATGAAATTTAAAATAGATGATTTACGGAAGGATCATCCAATAAAATCCAAAAGTGGGATTTATACATTTTCCTTCTTTATGAAATTAAAAAATGTGAAAGCATAAAAGCTTATTTAATTCAATTAAACCTTAGTGAAGAATTTAGACAGGAGTCATTTTAAGAAAATTGAAAATCGTGGTCGTGTATATTTTTCAGAGTGTCTACAGTTTACATTAAATTTAGATTTTTAATTGAAACCATGAAATCCGAGAAAACTTTTCCGTTGAACGTATGAAATTTTGCAGGAATTTGGGAAATTAGACAATTAAGTGGCGGGTAAAATTTAGATTAAATTTTGAACGGGGGTAATCTTCAGGAGTTGATTTTGTAGATCACCGTTTATCGGTTTACTTTTTCATTTCATATCAGCTGGTCTTAACACTATGACACGGATTTAACAGTGCCTAGGAATTCGTACCGAGTGCTCTTATTCTTTTAGCCCGGATAGAAATGACGGAATCCCGCGGGCGTCTGGTCATCTCCTTAATTGTCTTTCTTGTCTAATCTTGACATCTTCTCGCGTGACACGAATTCATCTTTGACAACGCCCGCCGTCGAGACATTCGGTCCAGTAATCATTTAATCGCGTCATCGCGTCTGGAAGATGCATAATTGCACTTAAGTGCACTTAATCTGACATTTAGAAACCCCCCTCCCCCCCTAAAAAAAAAAGTAACACCATAAATAAATAAACGACCATCGAAAGTACAAAGAAATCAGCGACATTGAAATTGAAAATCCTAACTCGCCGATTAATATACTATAATGGGGTATTCTTATCACCTGTTATCACGAAGAGGCGGAAAAATGACGATCTTTATTTTTATTCCCCTGAGTCATTCGGTGGAAATAAATAAAAATTCCAGGATAATAAATGATCGGATGCGCAATTACCGAAGGGCAACGATCATAGATTCAGTCCCCTATCTAATGATCATGCTAATTCCTAATTGTATCATCGCGGTCTTACAGTCATTAATTTCCTCTTTGCGATTCTTTGCGTTACATCCGTATCGTTAACACTGACCTTCGGTCAAATTTTCAAGATCGAACAACTGGATTTATCTTGAATCAGTAATAATTCCGCGGACGTTTATACCGAGAGAGAAATCATTTTTTGCGGGAATGATGCGAAGTGAATTTTTAGGGGAAATTTCTATGATATTTGCGAAATTGGGACACTCCTCAGGGTCGCTTATCAGGGCAGGAGGTTAATTCTTAAATAATCGCCGGAAAGACATTTGTCCTTCCTTCCTGCAGTCGTTATCGCAATAGTTATCGAGCCGCGACTTGAGAATTACCTTCAATTATGGTCACAGATCATTCAAGAATGACATCCGTGCGTGGGCGATCAAACGAGAACGAAATGATCGGCCGCGATTCGCGAAGGGCAATTCGGCGAATTGAAAGGAGTGGATGAAGGGATCATTAATCCGGGACTTGGAAATCATTTCAATGACGAGTACCAAGAATGACGTCTCCCCTGCCCAAGTGCAAATTATTCCCTCGTAATTCTAATTATTTTTACGACGACTTCCAAGCTAGAGATTGCGAAACCGTCGATGACAGAGATCATTCGGAAAATCAGAGAAAATGATGTCGATTGAAAGAAAGAAATTGTCATTTTAATGACAATTATAAAATTCATGATCTATTGTCTCATTTCGATGGCATGTCTTTTTCCAGTATTTAACAATATATTTTCGCGATCATGAAACCTACCCGACAGTTCTGAATGACTGAAGCTAATGACAGTTCCTATTGGCATGCAAACCTCGTAGGAGACCGTGATAAATCTATTGACATAGATATCACGATACTGAAGAGAAAGATCGCTCTACTTAGGATAGTCCTGCCTACACGGTAATCATCTCCATTCCCGGTTATCGCGGATGATTCTGTTCATCAAAATGATTGCCGCGGTTACAACGCTTACGTTAACGTGGCCCAACTTAGGTCGTCCTCGTAATCGTCATCATTGACAGATGATCGCGCAGAAACTGCTCCGAGAAACCCAAAACTCATTCTGGCAATTGCGATGATTCCTCACCTTGATTGATAAATTGAATGACGGCCTGTCTGAATAATTCCGCCGATTAAGGAAATCCACCAAGGGGAATTTCAACTCGGAGACATTTAAGGGAATTTCCGATGATCGGTTTGATTTAATTTCCTTTTTTTTTAATTTTTTTTTATGGAGAACCTTCAAGGGGGATCCATTTCGAAAATCATTTATCCGTTACTGACTTTCAGGAGTACTCGTTAACGCGATTACGGTGAGCATTGTCGCGTCGACTCGCGTGTGTCATCAGCTCTCTGTGACCTATGAACCAATGATAGCCCCTCAAGTAGATAGCACCCTCGTTTACTCTCACCATTACGGAAATCAAAATGCTAAGTACTCCGAAACGCCTCGCCATTATGCTTAGAATAGATTCCCAGATTTCGCCGGTAGTGGAATTTTACCCGACGGATTTTTTTGGAGGAATTAGAAAAGCATTTCCCGACCATTAGGGCCATCATGGCCGCGCCATTGAATGTCCTTCGTCGACTTTTTCAATATACCTTATTTCTACTACTTACTCCTTAATTCGAGTCAACTCGTGGCTGACCGAGTTGCATTAAGTACGCGGCCGAAAGTTTCGAAAGGATTTCGATTCGAGTCGACCTTTGACACGCATTCGCTTAATGGTAATTCGTGTTAAACGCGGAGCTGAAAACAATGGCGGGTCAATGGCGACACTTTTCGAGTCGCCCCATGAATTACCATTTACTGACCGGAATGAATGTCATTGAGAAACACGTGGAGAGAAGAAAAAAAGAGAATGGACTAACTTAAAGATTATAATTCCTATATTTTTCGTCCGGCGGATATTTTCGACAATTTCGATGTCGCAAGATCTTGCGAGGGATTTTTTTTACAAGGATTGTGCCTATCCAACACGTTTTGGTAATTTCATTCCTGTAAAATTTCAGCGAAATTGAACCTCTGCCGCGTAATTCATTTGAAAGATCATTTCTTAAGTAATTACATTTAATTTGAAATTTCATAAACATGTATAATCATTTTTTTTCTAAAATCTGTAGGAGAGGCATGCGATACTCCAAAATGCCGACACTTGTAATTCATTTGAGAAATCATTTCATAAGTAATTACATTTAATTTGAAATTTCATAAACACGTATAATCGTTTTTTTTCCCAAATATGTAGGAGAGGCATGCGATACTCCAAAATGCCGACACTGGTATTTCATTTCAGAGATCATTTCTGAAGTAATTACATTTAATTGGAAATTTCATAAACACGAATAATCATTTTTTTTTTTTCAAAATCTGTAGGAGAAGCATGCGATACTCCAAAATGCCGACACTGGTAATTCATTTCAGAGATAATTTCTGAAGTAATTACATTTAATTTGAAATTTCATAAATACGTATAATCGTATTTTTTTTTTTAAATCTGTAGGAGAGGCATACGATACTCCAAAATGCCGACACTGGTAATTCATTTGAGAGATCATTTCTTAAGTAATTACATTTAATTTGAAATTTCATAAACGCGTATAATTGTTTTTTTTTCCAAAATCTATGAGAGGCATGCGATACTCCAAAATGCCGACACTGGTAATCATTTCTTAAGTAATTACATTTAATTTGAAATTTCATAAACACGTATAATCATTTTTTTCCAAATTCTATATGAGAGGCATGTAATACTCCAAAATGAGACTCTCGTATGGGAATCGGAGCCTTCGGTCTCGTTTTGGAGCATTCTCGTTGATCCTCGTTAACCTGAACGAGTCTTTAGGGTTCCCCTCTCGGGGGCAACTGTTTCCCCGACGAATAAGCCGTACTCACGGCACATTTCACTTAAACCAATTGACGAAATTATGCCGCCGACGGCTACAAGTCTACTAAACCGGCGAAACTGGACTTAAATTGTGTTTATTCGAGAAGCGTGCATCGTTAACGAGTCATCGAGAACCGGGTGAATGACTTCACCGGGAAAAGGCGCGTGCATCGTTTCGTGGCGTGTCACGAGTCGTGTGACAGTAAATCACTTATCATGGCCTGGATATCAACGAGTCCCACCCGGGGGTCAAGTGGTGATGAAAAACTAGAAAATTGAATGAAAAAAAAAAAACATATATCCCCCGGAAAACAATCTAAAAAAAAAGAAGAAAAAATTGAATTTCCAGGAGATTCTCCCAACACAAAATTAAACAATAAATCTGGAATTCAACATATCTAAATAAAAAATTGAAGTTCTCAGAGATGGATGACCAGCGCGAGATTGTTCAGAAAGAAATCATTTGTATGAAAGAATAATCATATTTCCAGGGATGATCTTGCCGTTTCTTATTCCTGACCTCGGGCTTGGCTTTCTCACCTTTCAGGTTAATGGAAATGGGGTGATATCCTTCGTCAGGGCGATGCAGAGGTTCTTCAATATCGCGTTCCCCCTGGACGAGCCGGTGATCGCCCCGTTGTACACCCACGTGGACACAAGGGGTTCGGGGATGGTGTTTTGGGGGGAAACCGATAATCCAGATATCCTGGCCAGGGCAGGAGGAATCGTCAGGAGTGCCTTCAAGGACACGGACTACTTCGAGCCGACCCACGTCTTCCTCGCGACCTGGGTCAACGTCGGCTATTATCGAGAAAAGAGCGACAAGGTCGGGGAAAAAAAGATGAAAAAAAAAACACATTAAAATTCACGTCATCTTCGGATTACAAATTTTTTTTCTCTTCATCCTCTCTTCATTTTCGGATTAGAAATTTTTTTTCTCTTCATCTTCTCTTCATCTTCGGATTACAAATTTTTTTTCTCTTCATCTTCTCTTCATTTTCGGATTACAAATTTTTTTTCTCTTCATCTTCTCTTCATTTTCGGATTAGAAATTTTTTTTCTCTTCATTTTCGGATTGCAAATTTTTTTTCTCTTCATCTTCTCTTCATCTTCGGATTGCAAATTTTTTTTTCTCCACACGAAACTTCGCAAAAACGTTTCGGTCGAGTGAGCGGAATTTCAGTTCACTTGGCCATGTTTGCTTGAAAGATGACTTTTCGCGTGCTCCCGGCGAAAGAGTTATATTTTAATGTAACCCACCTCTTATCAGGTTAACACTTACCAAGCAGCGATTATCTCGAACGGCACGCACTCCTACGTGGAGCTTCTCTACCCTGAAGGAGGGATCCAGTGGATCCAAGGAGAGTCTCATCCGAATGGCCTTCCCGACGCGAGAGCTCAAGCCGGGTTGATGAGCGAAGGCAAAATGTACACCCTGAAGGGATCCGGGACGGACCAAATCCAGAATATCGACAAGTAATGTCAAATTAAGACTCTGCACTAAAAGGGAATTTTTTAAAATTAATTTTTCCAATTTTTACGAATTTTTATTAATTTTTCTTCAAGATGGTCCAACGTCAACCGACCCGGCCAGTGGGTGTTCCAGGTGGGCCCTCTGACGGAGGGGGAGAACGTAAAGACCCCCGACAAAATCTACGGTACCCTATTTTTATTTTCCCCTAAAATATAAAAATTGATTCTACACACTCTGCGAAAAAATACAGGGGTTCAATATTTCAGGTGGCAATTCGGAGAGCGAGATAGCGACGTGCGTTACAGGTGCAACTACTTGTCACAGCAAGGCGAACTGCATCGACCACGAGGCTGGGTTCTGCTGCAGCTGCAAGCAGGGATATTTCGGAAACGGAAAATCCTGCCAACCGAACGGTACGATAAAATTCAGTTAAAAATAAATATTACGTAAGGTAAGAAAAAGGAGTCCTTAAATGGGTGCGGGATTTATTCCTAGCTGGAGATAGCCCCTTCAGGGTTCCTTGAAGAGATCTCAGATTGACTGGTATTTCTAGACGTACCTTTGCGAGTGATCGGCCGGATATCCGGTAACATTAATAACGAGGAATTCCCATCGAGAGACCTTCAATGCTACGTGCAGACGAAGGATGGAAGAACCTACACGGCCATTTCTAGGATCCCCGAGGCCCTGGGGTCCAGTTTCCAGCTTCTGGGCACCCTGGGGGGTGTAATAGGGTGGCTTTTCGCCAAACCAATCGGCAACACCAAGAATGGATACCAACTAACCGGTAAAAAATCACCCAACAACCTCCGACACCTGCCTATACTCCTTGTATATTTTTTTGTCACGTGGATACCGATTTTTTTATTCAATGCACTTTTCACGAATTCTTCAGGGGGGGTCTTCAACCACACCTCGGAGTTGTCCTTCACCCCATCCGGGGAACACCTTACCATCAGAAGTCGTTACATGGGTCTGGACGTATTCGGGCAGCTGAAGATGGAAGCCGACATCAAGGGGACCATCCCCGTGCTCGCCCAGGACGCCAGGATCGATTATGGGGACCACGAAGAACCCTACACCAGGGTGCAACCCGGGACCATTCGCTCCCAGACTACAAGGACGTACAAAATAATCGGAGAGAGCGACGTCGAGCACTCCTTCAACCAGGACCAGATCATAGTCTTCGAGGAGTGTCCTTACGAGCCCGGTCCTGAAGAGGACACCACGAGGTTGAAGTTCTCCAGAGGTGTCACCACCTTCGAGGCTAGAGAAAGCATCATCAGGTTCGCGATGAACTCGAAGGTGGCTCCCCTGGAAGAAGAGGATCCTTGCATTCAAGGAAGATCGTCCTGTGGGGTCCACAGTTCCTGCGTGGTGGACGGGGACGAGTTCAAATGCGTTTGCAACCCAGGGTAAGGATTTTTGACATTTAATAATCTTTTCTTAATTAATTTATTTCACAATTACCGACTTCAAATGCGTTTGCGGCACGGGATGACGTTTCTCAGATTTAACTTACCGATTGCAATTGACCTATCGGCTTGATAAAAAATTCGAGGGGTAACGATTTTTTCCAGGGTAACGATTTTTGACATTTAATAATCTTTTCTTAATTAATTTGTCTCACAATTACCGACTTCAAATGCGTTTGCGGCACGGGATGACGTTTCTCAGATTTAACTTACCGATTGCAATTGACCTATCGGCTTGATAAAAAATTCGAGGGGTAACGATTTTTCCCAGGGTAACAATTTTTGACATTTAATAATCTTTTCTTAATTAATTTATTTCACAATTACCGACATCAAATGCATTTGCGGCACGGGATGACGTTTCTTAGATTTAACTTACCGATTGCAATTGACCTATCGGCTTGATAAAAAATTTTAAGGGTAACAATTTTTCCCAGGGTAACGATTTTTGACATTTAATAATCTTTTCATAATTAATTCGTCTCACAATTACCGACTTCAAATGCGTTTGCGGCACGGGATGACGTTTCTCAGATTTAACTTACCGATTGCAATTGACCTATCGGCTTGATAAAAAATTCCAAAAAAAATTCCATGAAGCCAATAATGTCCCTGAATTCCGTATTTTCGAAAAAGGTACCAATATCTGTACGAGAGGGACGGAAATGCAACTTGTGTGGACATCAACGAGTGCACTGCCGGGAATCACGTGTGTGCCCCCGACGCATACTGCGTGAACAATGAAGGGAGTCATACCTGTCACTGCAAGACGGGCTTTTCCGGGGACGGCCGAATTTGCGAAAGTACTCTATCGAGTCCCTTTACTCTTTCCATCTCTGAATTTTGAGGTAGAAAAATTTCACGGATTTTTAAACCCTTTCCTCTCCAGAAATTCCGACCTGCGAGGAGACCCGATGCCTCGACTACGAGCAGTGCACCATGATCAGCGGCCTCCCGGTTTGCAGTTGCCTTCCTGGTTTCGAAAACACCGACGATGGGTGCTTCCCTATTCAACATGGTAGACGGACTCAAAAACTACCTTCCTGAATTTTTTCCAAATTTTTCTACGGGATTTTCAATTTTTTCCCGATTTTTATTTCAGAGTCCTGCGACGTGGCCAATAATTGCTCCCCTTACGGATCCTGCAGCTATAACGGGGATAGAGGGTTATATGTCTGCGTGTGCCTTCCTGGATACGTTGGTAATTAACAATATGTGACAAATATTCTCCTGATTTTTCCTGATTTTTCCTGATTTTGCGCGATTTCGCGAGTCGAAACGGAATGTAAGCAATAGAGGTTGAAGGAAGGGAATTTCGAATACACTCGTTACAAATCGTTGACATTCTCCCTCAGTCTATAATTAAATAATTTCTTTCACAACAAAATTATCCTAGAGGCGGAACTGGATTTAATTCCCGCGGAAAATGCGTTTTCACATTTTTCAAATATTTTCAAATCTGAAGGGATTGAACGATTCGTTGGACCCCGGTAAATGATTTTCTTTTTGTTTATAGGAGATGGGTACACCTGTTACACCGAAGCCGAAGCTGCAACCACTGTGCAGCCTATAGACGAACGTCCACAATGTGTCATGGGCACGTGTTGGTGTTCACCTGGATGGGATTATCGAAACAACGTTTGCGTGAAAATTGACGAAAACTTCGAAATCGGGGGACCATCGACCAGTTCTTCCGGCGATGGTAGCAGAGACCGTAAGTCATGAAAAAAATCATTATTTTCATGACCAATGAATTTCGACATCACTTTGAAAAAAATTCCGAGACGTGCGAAAATTTGCGGTTGCTTGATGAGTCCTCTCGCCGTATCCGTTTTGTTTTTAACAAACTTCAGGTGGAATTGCATGATCCATCTGTGATCGATCGCCGATCGCGAGCACTAACATCCTTAACAGAGCTTGCACGGTGCTTTTTAGTATCGGCACACCCGATCCCGGAATGCTTGGAGGACTACTGTATTTGCCCCTGGGGATTCAATTACGAGTACAGAGAAGAGATTTGCACTCCCCAGCCAGGATACAACCACGAGACGATGGGTCACTCGGGATCCCAGTGTACGGATTTCACAAAATTGTCCTTCTAACACACTTAAACCCCTTTTTCAAATCCCCTCTCATTATCTTCTTCCTTACAATTAACAATTCCAACAATTGTATATATGGAACGCCACCAATATCCGATTAACATGGATTTAAATTCATTTAAAAAGAATTTTCTGGAAATTTGTCAAGTACAATCGATTTTAATTGCACTCCAAAAATTGCAATTATTTGAGAATTTATTTAAATTAAGTGGATCTATCTTCATTTCTAAAAGTTGCGTTCATTCCTGGGAATTTTCAAAATGAATCTCTGATTAGCCTTATAGTGCGATTTCTTTATCTCTGCCTGGCCTAATCATCGATTTGCTCGTCCAGTATCGTGCAACGTGGTGAACAGGTGTCATCCTTACGCACAATGCGTGTACGTGATCAGCACAGGTGACTACGAGTGCAGGTGCAATCAGGGGTACGAGGGTGACGGTATGGAGTGCACCAGGATGGGTACGTATCCGCATAAAAAGAGATCCGCCATCTGCCAAGAGGCTGCTAATTTGCATAATCGCACGCATTATTGCAACAGAGGTGTCCTGTCTGGATATCGACATTTGCGACCCTAACGCATCCTGCCGACACGAGGAGCCGTCTGCAAAATGCGTCTGCAACCCCGGCTACGAAGGGGATGGAATGTCCTGCCACCCGATCGGTGCATCCTTTAATTATTTCACCACGACCCATAGACTCCTAAATGTCGAAAAAGAAAAAAAACATCCATTTTTCTCGCAATGAACTTGATATAGTAATTAATGTCGAATTTAGAATCGCACAGTTTGCTGCATCTCGCGATTCCACCTGTGCATCTTTTAATTATCTCTATCACGGATTCATAATCTAATGCAGAAATTCCCCTTAAAAATATCCCGTTTAATTGAAAAATAATATCGATCGCCTGCAAAATGATTTATTTTAATTTCTGGAATTGCAATTATCCCGCAGACGAGTGCACCGAGAATTCGGAGTGCGACGAGAACGAGCAGTGCTCGTACAATCCTTCTGCAGGGAGGTACGAATGCACCTGCAATCCAGGTTTCGGGATGGTGGATGGACAATGCGTTGTCGCGGATTGTTCCACGAATCCTTCTCAATGTCATGTCAATGGACAGTGCATTACTGGAGATGTCGGCTACAAGTGCGTGTGCATGAGCGGATTCCACGGAGATGGAGTGCACCAGTGCGTTACCGATCACATCGGCTGCAACGTCTTGAACAATTGCGACAGAAATGCAGTTTGTGGGTACAATCAGACTGCCGCAAGCTTCGCGTGCATCTGCCAACCGGTAGGTGAAAAAACGTTCAGGTGATAATTGCATGTGCATCACCTCCAGTAAATCATATGCAATTCTTGCAGAAGTGCATTCGGAATGGACGCGTCTCTTAGTGGTTGTTAATTAATCTTGAAAAATGTAGGTGAAAAGTAGATGAAAAAATCCAGGTGATAATTGCATGTGCATCACCTCCGTAAATCATATGCAATTCTTGCAGAAGTGCACTCCGCATGGACGCGCCTCTTAATGATGGTTATTTAATCTTGGAAAATGTAGGTGAAAAGTAGGTGAAAAAAAATTCAGGTGATAATTGCACGTGACATGCATCGCCTTCAGTAAATCATATGCAATTCTTCCAGAAGTGCACTCCGAATGGACGCGTCTTTTAATGGTTGTTAATTAATCTTGGAAAATGTAGGTGAAAAGTAGGTGAAAAAAAGTTCAGGTGATAATTGCATGTTCATCACCTCCAGTAAATCATATGCAATTCTTGCAGAAGTGCACTCAGAATGGACGCGTCTTTTAATGGTTGTTAATTAATCTTGGAAAATGTAGGGGAAAAGTAGATAAAAAAAGTTCAGGTGATAATTGCATGTTCATCACCTCCAGTAAATCATATGCAATTCTTGCAGAAGTGCACTCGGAATGGACGCGTCTCTTAATGGTTCTTAATTAACCTTGGAAAATCTTTCTTAAGGGCTATCACGGAAACGGGTTCACCTGCTTGCCTCAGTCGTCCTGCAGGAGGAATCCAGGACTCTGCTCCAAGGACGCAACCTGCGTGGGGACAGGCGAGGACCAATTTGCATGCGTCTGCAACGAGGGCTTTTCCGGTGACGGGGCGAGCTGCAAGTCCGTCCCTCGTCACGATGCAAATATCCTTCTGGTGAACCAGGGAATGGCGACCCTCAGGATACCCTTTTATCCAACTCCTGCGAACCCCAGCAAGACCATCCACATTGTCTACGAACAAATGGCCGTCGCCCTGGACATCGACTGCCAGGCTGGGAAGGTTTACTACAGCGACATCTCCGGTGAGTAAAAAATTCATAAAATCCTCCACTTTTATTACATAAGTTTGCAGTAAAATTATGATCCCCTAATAGTGAATTCCTATAAATTTATTAAGAAATTCTGAGTAAATTTACGATTTTAAAGAGAAAAATTATAAATTTGATATTCCGATAGTCATTTAGTACGCATTGTTTTCCAATTTTTTCTTCGATGAACTTTGAATTTTATCCTCGTCTACGTAAGCTTACATTTAATATCGAGTACTGATCAACACAAATTTATAACATATTTTGTTTGAAAATATGTTATAAAATGATAATATTTTTTTTCTTTTGACAGTGTGGTTTAATCGTTGAACAGAAAATGCTCCCCAGAGAAAGGACCTTTTTCAATATACATTTTCAATTTTCCAGGCAACAGATTGGTCGCCATGACGTATAATGGATCGACAGCCGACACTTTCCTCGTCAACGTCAGCAGTCCCGAAGGCTTGTCGATAGACTGGGTATCGAGGAACATTTTTTGGACGGATTCCGGAAAAACGACGGTGGAGGTCGCCAACCTGGAGACGAAGAAGAGGAAGGTCCTCATCTCGGACGGCCTGGTCAATCCAAGAGGAATCGCGGTTCACCCCTACCGAGGGTGAATATAAAAAACCTAAGAAATAATTATGAAATTGTCTTCATTAATTATTAATTACCCTGGATTTACCAGGAAAATATTCTGGTCCGACTGGAACCGGCATGCCCCGAAATTGGAATGGGCCAACGAGGATGGCACCGGTCGCTCGATATTCCTCCATGGCAGTAACGTCCAATTACCAAATTCCCTAGCCATCGACTGGTCGACGGATCAATTATGCTGGGCGGACGCAGGAACATTCACGATACGTAAGGATTGATAATTGAAATGAATTTCCAACGATATCGATTAATCGTCGCCGTTCCAGACTGCGCCTCGATCGACACGAGGGAACTTCAGCTCGTGGCCAAAGATTTGGCCTACCCATTCGGATTGGCCATTTCTCAAAATCACTATTATTGGACCGACTGGAAGACGTGAGTTAAATTAATTATAAACTATCGTTCATACCGAGTGTAAATTAATTGATAATTAGGCACAAAATCGAGATCGCCGGGAAGGTGACCAAGGAAAGGTTGGACGCCTTGAACGTCCCCCCGGGTGGAAATGGAAAATTGTACGGGGTGGTTGCGGTCCCGGAAACGTGTCCTAGGGGTAAGGATAATTTCCCCTGATACTTGCAATAAATTCCAATTTTATTCCCGACATTATCCTGCCAATGAGAATTTTTATCCCCACGTTCTTTATGGCCAGTTTCGAACGTATGCCAATTCGAGAACGGGAGGTGCACCAAGGATCAACTTTGTCTTCCTGACGGCCAAGGAGGAAGGACCTGCGTCTGTGCAGACAATGCATCAGGACCTTGTATCAACTCCGGGTACTCCTCGTAACCGTGAAAGTGACCAGGAAAAACTTTTCCTTTCGGTGGGGATAAGGAGAACGTCCTGGCAGAAGGACTGGAGTTTTAGAGTAAGATCCTGAAGAAATCACCAGCCTAGTTCTAGGACGAGCGTAAATTATGATTCCTTAATTCCGTAATATCATAAGCGACCCGAGGTATTTTTTATGTTATTTTGTATCGAATGTAAAAGTAACGTCATAAGCGAAAACGGATGTACTGTAATAAATCTGAGTAACCAAAGTCGAACCCTTGATAATTATACCCCAAAATATGGATTTTAATAAACAAAAGTATGTCCACGAAACTTCTGAGGAAGTTGATAATTAATAACCCACGAGAAACGTCCAGTTAAAGCTGCATTTTATTAAACGAGCTCGCCTTATGCGTTTATTTATACAGATTCACATTTCGTAATCTCTCTATATATATTCCTAACTATATATATATATTTATTTAAAAGTCACTTATACTCGGTGGCTAGTACGACGGTCTACAAAGTAATAATACAAAGTCAGCTTCGTATTGTACGGACTCGAAATCCCACGTCGCAATTTTTCCGTCCTACTTTAGTCGCACTTTTCGGATTTTTCGTTAATAAAGGGACTAAATAAAAAAAAAAGAAAGAATGCGCGGGCACATCAAGAGATAAACAATCAGCGAATCTAAGCATACATTTGACCGCAACGATGTTAATCGCGCGTTATAGCCATCGCTGATTAAATAGTCCTACGTCGATACAGTCGCCCCCCGAAAAATGTGCAAAAAGAAAGAGGAGGGGGGGAAAATTTCGAGAGCATTTTCGAAAAACGCTCGTTTTCCCCAAATTAAATTCCCCGTTCATGCATTTATCAGGAAACAACTGCAATTGCATATTATACCTCGTCCTGGGCCTTCGCTTATATCGTACGTCCACGCTATCATTTATCTATACATTTATATATTCGGTATATTTATTTTATATTTATAAAAGCGTAAAAAACTCCTTTATACACAGGATCAGGAGACGCGAGTCCTGGTCGCAAATTGGGGAGACTATTCGAGGGATTTCCTTCCTAAGTATTGTTTTTTCATTTTTTTCTTTCGACGACGAAGGACGACGCACCTTGCGTGACGATTTTTCATTGTTATGAATTTATTTGCATCAACTTTTGTCATTTAGTCCTTGGAGACTTCTGGCCTTCGAGGACTGGCTGAATGGAATTCTTTGTTTAATTGAAGAAGGCATTTATTGTCCATGGATCTCCATAAACGGCGAACATTGTTCGTTTTGTGCGATTTCGCACAGGCCAAGGTCGGACATCCAAGGATCAGAAGTTGCATAAATTAAGCGTTGCACTTCTTCCTTCTTTTTTTTTGTTTTTTTAACTGACACGAAAAATTGACTTCACTTTGTACAATTTCTGGTTAACAAAATATTCCATTTAAATCACTCGAAGAATTAAAGTAAAAGGATATCGATGACGCATCCTGGAAAATTCTCCAGAAAAATTCCTCAAAAATTGACTTCACTTTGTACAATTTCTGGTTAACAAAATGTTCCTTTTAAATCACTCGAAGAATTAAAGTAAAAGGATGTCGATGACGCATCCTGGAAAATTCCAGTCACGAGGTCCCTCGTCGCGGTTTCCTTAGCGTACGCGAAAGGATTAAGGACTACCGATTAAATATTAAATTAATAAACGCGACATGGGGAGAGTTAATGCTCGATTAAATACAATAAGGGCGGGGAGGGGACTCTTCTCTTAGGGGTAGAAATAAAAAAAAAGAACATATGCGATTACATAGTAAGGACCAGCCGCGATTCTGCGAGGAGCTATCTTCCCTTGTATCTCCGCAGGACCTTCGAGTCCTTGGACGTGTCATAAGATATCCTGCTCGCAGAAACAATGACAGGGCCTCAGACTAGGCTCGTGTCCGAGGACTTTTTCGAAATTACTATACGTACGAAGGAGAGCCATCGGACATCCTCCAGGATAATTATCCTTCTCGTAGAATCTTGAGGGAAGAAATCCAGTCTGAACGTTCTCGGACCTCAAGATGCTCTTCGTCATATATCTTCGAGGTGTCTCGAAAATACAATAGTACCCATGTAAAATCCTTTCGGATGTCCTGTCGCTCGCGTCCAAGGATATCCGCCGACGTCCGGATATCCTTGGATGTCTAAATAAATCTGAAGGGGTAAAAATAAAATGGCGGTAGCTTTGCGGTCGTTTACGGACTGACGACTTCGATCACTGGCACTTAGAGCTTGCGACTCGTCCTGGAGGCTCAAAAAAAAATAGAAAAAAATAGGAAAAAATAGGAAAAGGTAGAAATTACGAAGGATCATTAATCAGGGGTCGTCGGAAGCTCGCAGTGGTAGGTAATCCCGATGATAACAGAGTCTCTTTCTCTGGGCAGGCACTTGGAGAAAATGGCACCATCGTTCCTCTTCCTCTTAGCACTGTCTCGCTCTTCTAATCATCTTCTCTACCTCCTGAATCTGTGTCCGAGATTCCGGTGGTGATTCGCGATAGCGTCGAATTTGTCCCTCTTCCGAGGACATTTCCCCTGCCGCCTCATATATTCCCCATACTCGCACATGGGAAGTCCGCATTCGCCATTTTGGATGCACCTAAAAATCGGAAAAAAATGCCATCAGTCATCTCAAAAGAAATCCAGGAGAAGAAAAACCGTCAAGACCTTAACAATCTCAATACCAACGGAATATTAAACTAAAACACTTTAATCCATCGAAGGAAATTCCATTCGCTCGACGGAAGCGTTTTCTTAAAATTAAGCAAATGCAGTGGAACGATTTTGGCGAATGAGCCGATTTTTCTTTGCTGATGATTTAATGAATTTGGTTTGTGTAGATTTTTTTGGGGTTTACTCACAATCTGTCTCTCAGGGAGAAGTAACCCTTTCCTCTCCTGGCTTTGATGCAGTCTTGGTCATTTTCGAAACAGTTGCATTGGCACTCCCCCTCCGGCGTAATCCTCGGCGTAAACTCCGAGGGACATCGGCACCTGATTGGATCAGTAAATCCGAGTTTAGCGATCAGACATGTCTAAAGAGTCGCGGGCTTAACGAGGCTTCCCTCGTATCGACATTTTACGGCCGATCGTCAATCAAAATTTAATTGTACGCCTCTAGACGTCGAGACGAACGTCGCTCGCACCTTCGGGATTTATACGCCGGATTAAGGTAACGCGAAACCTCCCGGAGGTGTTAAAATCGTCTATTCGAGGTAAATTAATATAGAAATTCCGCGAGAGAGTAGATAGAAAATTTCACTCGATCAAAGGCGTCTTACCTCCCCTCATTCACAATACAGATCTCCAAAAGGGCATTACTTGGGATAATAAAGTTCATTTTTAATTCCTAGGGAATTAAATCGTAATCCTGGATTGACAGTCTAGGGGATTTGAAATGATGTTAAATGTTTAGTGATATTTATCATTAAATGTTTCTCACGGTTTCCTCTGGGGTGGACGTCGGATATTCTGCGGGGGCAGAGGGGGGGGATGCCTTGTATAGTCCGGCTCGAAGGGCTTGTCATTTGACATGTCATGTTCCGTCTTTTCACGACACTCGCACTCGGTGTGGTTGTAGAATGACAGCTTCTCCACCACGCTCGCCCCGCTCACGCTGGTGGTCTGTAAAAAAAATGTAAAAACCGAGAAAATTAATAAATACCTCAACGTCGACTTCGGAAAATTACTAAGAATTCAAATTTCTAGTCTAAGGAAAATTCCAAATATTTCTCACTGGGGTGAAATTTAAAGAACGTAAATTCCCTGACGCTCCTGTTTTATTTTTTATTTATTTTTTTATTTTTTCGTTATGTAATTTTACGGCCTGTCACTTGGATTTCGAAATTTTTCCCACGGTCGATCCGTCATATCGGAACAATTGCGAACGATTGAGAAATCTGGAACGGACGAGATTAATGGGACAGCTTCGATTGTTCCAGGACGGAAGCGATTGACCCCGTGGAATTCCCGGATCGCGAAAGACAATTGCAGCACCTCTCGGTGCAACTGGTTGCACTTGTCGGCACTTGTGTAGGAATTGCGAGAAAACGCCGGGCGTCGATCACCCAGAAAACCGACAATGGTCCCGGGGCACGTAATCAACGATTCCGAGATCAACGGCGATCGATAGATCGCTCTCGAGACGTCCGAACTATTTATGGGATTCCTCGGCGAGGTGCGGTTGCATGTGCAACATGCACCTGGAATTTCCCGCACGTGCGGCTGCGACACGTCACCGAGTCCTTTCAACTGCACCTCTCGAGGTGACGACTACTCTCTGTAATTTCTTATTTATTCCCCCCCTGAAAGAATTTATTACCCCATATTCGTTTTTTTTTACTCGGGAAAAATGGCGAAACTCGGAACGACTCCACGCAGGTAGTTGCGCGGATGCAATTTGCATAAGATCCGTAATGCCGGCGATGCATCATCCGGGATCGACGATGATCCACGGTGATCCTGCGGTGCACCGTTAACTTCTTACGACTGCCCTCCGGCGATCCACCCTATAAATCCACCTCGGCATTATCCGCAATTGCGGGGTACTGTGACAACTTTTCAATTGAGACATCCAACGCGCACGAACGCAAGGAGTACCTCGAAGGTGGACGTATATCCACGTCGAATCCGAAATATGCCTTGAAAGATAATTTATAATCATCGATCTGGTTACTTAATCTTCCCTTAATTTAGTTTTATCTTCGCTTGAGGAAGTTGAGGAGTAATTATAATCATCGCAATTGCGGGGTATTGTGACAACTTTTCAATTGAGACATCCAACGCGCACGAACGCAAGGAGTACCTCGAAGGTGAACGTATATCCACGTCGAATCCGAAATATGACTTGAAAGATAATTTATAATCATCGATCTGGTTACTTAATCTTCCCTTAATTTAGTTTTATCTTCGCTTGAGGAAGTCGAGGAGTAATTATAATCATCTGTACAGGGGACATCTTCATGCCGTCTGTCCTATTCTCCTTCGTAAATCTGATCTGCAGGGATGCGGCAATTCGTCATTGCCTGTGCAGGTCGGCCGGATTGAAATCCCCGATCGCCTCGCCGCGATAAACGCGGTACTGAAAAGTTCCGCTCGTAAATTTCGCTCACTTTGGTCCCACTGTTCCCGAGATGAGACCAATCGCCTTTCAACATGCAAAAAGAGAAGACAAGTCTTCATTGGGAGAATAAGTGCAGCTGTAAAGCACTCGAAACGCCGATAGAAAATTGCAATTTAATCATGGGTTTAATTCGGCAATGAGCGTTCCAGGAGATTCCAGTGAAATTAATATTAAATCGCCTGATGATGAATTTTCTTCGGTATTCCTAGGTTTCTAAAGGATCTCTTTTTCGAATGTTAACCTCGTCGCGTCCATTCAAGAAATTCTCTTGCCGCTTTTGAATAGACCCGCCGAGCGGAATTCAAACCGCGCGCCGCCATTGAAAGAAGGAACATCTCTCCGCATACACGAAGGCATGCATTACAGTTCTCGTACGAGTTTACCCTGGTTGGGTAACTGCATACGCAAGTACTCGCGTACAGTTCATTGAAGAACAGGTGCCTCGAGCGAAACACCACGAATATGCTAATGAACCAAGTCCGACGACTGCTGAATTCCCGGGTAAATTGAATTCCGAAATTCACCTCGCATTTCTGAGAGGCCTTCGGGCGCTTCTTCCGAGGCCTTCATAAATGTCTATTCCTCCCCTGCATTAAAAATTTCCATCCCCAGGTAAATCCACAGAAATGAAAAAATTCCCCATCACCCCCGCGCGACAAAAAATTGTCAATATTCCATGCACTATTAAAAAAAACAAAAAAACCCGAACAAATTCATGAAACGTCTATCAGGAATTTTATTCACACGCAGTTTCTCAAATCCATAAATATCCGCGTATAATGAAATTAATTTCCACGTATCATAAATTGACAAGCCGGTTTAAAATATCGCCGTTCGTAAATTCATTACGTTCGGGCGTTGCATATTAATGTCAATCGTCGTATGAAATGGAATTTTAACGTGACTTTGGATGCCGAGAATGTATGAAATTTCCATGCATTTTTAACGGGGTGGCCATAGGTGGTGACCCACCATAACGACGAGGGCGTAAACCACCGCCATGGGCGACAGCAACGCCGCCTTTGCATTACCTTCATGTACGTGGAAACTCGTATATGTACTCGGGCTTACCGGTGCATAATCGAGCACATAATCGAGCACTCGTCGTACCTTTGCATCTTCCCGTGGCATGCGAAACGACCCTTCTGCTCCCCCCGGTGCATTATGCGACAGTGCATTACGTGGTACTCGCGAGCGTAATTCATCCGGCGAGTACGGAGACTTATGTGTACCTCGACTTTTCCAAAGTTCGCCACCCCACCCTGTTTTATGAATAATCAATTCCCTCGAAATCTCCTCCCCTCGTGTACTAGAGAAAATATGCACTCGGGGCCTTTGAACTGCACCGTGGAGAACATAATTTTGCATTTAACAAAAGACCCCGTGTAAGAAAATATATTCCATGAAAAAGGGATATTTTGCACTGGGCAATTTTTTTTTATTTTCAGTGGGAATGGTTATTTTTCGGATTTACTGGTGGATCCTTGCCTTATAGGAGATCCTGAGGGGGATTGAATTACCAGGGGATAGAATCGCTCATTGTACGCGATATGTACCTCGGTCTCGAGTACGCGATCGTACACTCTGCGAGAGGCTTGCTCACCTTAGGTACTTACTTTGAGTACCTACAGTGCGGTGCGTCTCGGTGCACACTTGCACGTGGGCATATTTCGCGAGCATTGAGATACTAACTCCTCTCGGTGCACTTACAGGAGGATAATTAAATGACTCCGTGAGGGGGCCGAGAGGTCGGGGCCGATGAACCCGCCTCGAAGATATCCCTCCCTCGAATTAAGAAATTATTGAGAAGAACTAATGACTCGATCCGCGAGGCTGCTCCTTTAATTAGCCCGTAATTACAAGGTACAGAGAATAAAATCGGTAATTCCAGGGAAAGGGAATTTAATTGGGGAGTTCCTCCAAAACAATCACTTTTAAATATCCAATAACTTTCGCCGCGAATGTCGAGATTCCATCTCATCTAATGAATTTCATTAAATGATCGAAATTTTATTACAATTTATGTCATTATAATAGGATTTATGTATTTTACAGAAATTCTATTGTACCTCAGATATTTCATATTTCGAGGGGATTTTTATGTATATGTATCTTCTTCTCTTTTTAATGCTCGACGTTCTACATTTTTTTTTTCTTGTAAATATAATCTTGTAAAAATAAATCCTGTAATAACCATTTCCTAGGTATCATTCGAGAGATTTATGTAAATCGCATGCGGCCGATCCGCGTGTGCGAGTAACGTGTCCCTTGCGTGTGCGCTCTTCAGGATCTGTCGCTGCGGGACGATTAATGGAGACCCTGAAGAGAAGAAGTACTCGAATCGTAAGCCGATACAATCGTCCCTCTCTTTCTCTCTCCTGCTCGGCCATTACGCACGAATGCCAGGATAAAGACGGCGTGAAATCCCTTTCGCTTATCCCGCAAAACTGGCCGCGTAAATACCTTCGAAGAAATCCGCATTTCCTCGGCATCCTCTCGAGCTCGACTTCCCGAGGGTCGCTTCTTCCTTTTTTCATCGAAATTGCCCTACGATGCCAAAGCTTCAATATTCCAGACCTTAAATTGAATTTTTAGTACGAATAAAAAAATCACTTAAATTTTTACGATTTTGCAAGAAATTTTCCTGTTGTCGCGAAAGTGCGTTAAAATTGGAAGAGGATAATTTCGATTGCAAGTTGTCTTTTGTAGGTAATTTTTAAAAATCAATTGAAAGGTTGGGTTGGTTAATTGATGGATTTTAATACTGCCTCCAGTTTGATAATTCTTCTCCCTAATAGGATTATAAACGAGAGTGAATTTTTAAACCGACTAAAAAAATCACCTAAATTTTGACGATTTTGCAAAAAATTTTCCTGTTGTCGCGAAAGTGCGTTAAAATTGGAGGAGGATAATTTCGATTGCAAATTGCCTTTTGTTGGCGATTTGTAGGTAATTTTTGAAAATCAATTGAAAGGTTGGCTTGGTTAATTGATGGATTTTAGTCCTGCCTCCAGTTTGATGACTCTTAACAAGTGGTTAAACCGACTAAAAAAATCACCTAAATTTTGACGATTTTTCAAGAAATTTTCCTGTCGTGGCGAAAGTGCGTTAAAATTGGGGGAGGATAATTTCGATTGCAAATTGCCTTTTCTCGGGGAATTGCGGTTAAATTTTTTAAATCTATTGAAATTGATTTTGCAAGAAATTTTCCTGTTGTCGCGAAAGTGCGTTAAAATTGGAGGAGGATAATTTCGATTTTGCAAGAAATTTTCCTATTGATTATTTGAAAGGTTGGCTTCGTTAATTGATGGATTTTAGTACTGCCTCCAGTTTGATGACTCTGAACAAGTGATCCTCATTGGAATTGCGCAAAACGGTACCTCCGGAAGAGATGCGACTCTTCCCTCTTCTATCATTAATTCTTCTCCCTAATAGGATTACCCGATAGCTATTGCGGTGAGACGCTGCAGGCGATACTATCTCTGTACTATGTCTTCGGGAC